CTAGTAGCGAGGCCAGGAGCCCCTAGTAGCGTCCTCGTTCCTAGTAGCGAGGCCAGGAGCCCCTAGTGGCATCCTTGCTTCTAGTAGCGAGGCCAGGAGCCTAGTTGCGATGTCCTCGTTCCTAGTAGCGAGGCCAGGAGCCCCTAGTAGCGTCCTTGCTTCTAGTAGCGAGGCCAGGAGCCCCTAGTAGCGTCCTTGCTCCTAGTAGCGATGCCCTTGTTCCTAGTAGCAAAGTGCATCGCAGGTTTGGTCATGTTGGACCACACCCACTGCTACGTGGCACCTGCAGAAGGCGAAGTCGACCCGCACGCTGGGCATGCGCACTAAGGTGACGTCCGCTGGCGGAAATAAAACCGGGCGGGAGGAAGTGGAAGGAAAAACTGATTGAGACCTAGTAGCTCCTAGTAGCTTCTTGTTCCTACTATGGAGTGAAAGATGAGCAGAGTGAGCAGAGACTGAGTAGACTTGGTAGATTTGTTGCGTGATGGGCAATATTTGTTGCATGGCGGGAGGAACATGTGGCAAACTCATCGGTGTTCGGTTGCCAGTATCCGTTTATTTGTGGGGCACTCCCAAGCGATGGGGGTCTAGTGTTTGCATGGATTGCACATCAAACCACACACCTTGAGACTGTGAAGAGTGAAAGGTTTTCGATGGTGGAAGGGTCCTTCAAGGGAAAAAGACCTGAGCTGCTTTGAGGATCATATGCCCAAGATCACACCTTTGAGAGAAAATGAACATTGAGAAAAAACACACAAGATATTTTGGATTGTTCATGATTGTTCTGTCGAACACATTCCACGACCTTGATCAGATTTGAAGTTCCACCATAGTTGTCTCGGCATTCTACCTATTCCCCTCGGAAGGCTCACATTGGCATCTTTCACCGCAATCTCAAAGTGGTTGGTACAGTTTCAGGGACACCTTGCATTACTGGCCCACTCCAAATCAGCCATCGTGGCTGAGGCTGGCTTTGGACTACGAAGGTAGTGTTCAGAAGCGAAGCAGCGACAGAGGGAACTTTTAACTGGATGTCCAAGACATCTTGTATGGCTCAGTGGAGAGAGAGGATCTGAGGGAGCTCCCTGGGAGACCCCATTTTTCGTGCCTTGGAGAGGCATCTAGATCTTCCTTGGAGAGGAGACGAGTTAACGAGTCAGTTTGTCTCAGCGTGGATGAAATAGATATATAAAAAGATAAGATTTGATAAGATCGATGAAAGGTCCGTTCAATGCAGCAGTAGATTATTTGCCCATGCTTGACCGTCTAAGCCTTAGCCGCCTTTTTGTTTACACCTGTGTTCCTTCGACTTGTTTGGTCGCTTTGTGTCCGTAGAGTTCTGACTTTGCGTCTACCCTCGGGGAAGTTACAGTGTCGACTCCACTGATCCGTAGATCGAGATTTGGCGCATGGCTGGAGTGCCTTTTTGATTCGTGTCTGTCGAAACTGAGCATTCGTGGCACAGCTCAGATGACTGGACTCAGCTCATGACTCGACTCAGTTCGTCAAGCACCGGAAAGGGGCCAAACAAATTCCTCGGAACTATCAGCCAAGATCTTTGCCGGTCATTTCACCAAAAGGGGCTTCACACCGGCCAAATCTGTACACTGTAGACCATTTGAGGGGGAAGAGTGAAAAGCAAAAAAAGGCACATCAGCCGTGTTGCAGGAAAGTTGAGTGGACTTGGTCGCAGGAATCAGTGACGCAGTGGAAGCTGAGCAGACATGAGACAACGTTGGAGTTCGAAAAAAAGAAGTCGGTTGAGGAGGCCATCGCTATCAGGTTGGAGGCCATCGCTATTAGGTTGAGGGGCAGAGTGGCCTTTAAAAAAGAAGTAGGCTCTTTTGGGGGATTTGCTCGGCTGGCCAGTCGGGCTGGAGTCCACCAAGTCTTCAAAAATACCCCGGAAAGATGATTCATGTTTGGAGTTTTTGGAAGAAAAAGACGGGTTTGCTTTCGGCAGCTTAGTCCAGTTGAACTGAATGGACATTTTTTGTTCCGCAAATCACGGTGTTGCATCGCTAGTTAGGTAGGAGGCCAGCGGGCGGCCATCGCTAGTTAGGTAGGAGGCCATCGCCATTAGAAAGTTTTCTTGCGTTTTTAACCTAGTAGTTTCTTGCTACTTGAAGTATGGCCAGGAGCCCCTAGTAGCGTCTTTGCTCCTAGTAGCGATGCCCTTTGCTCCTAGTACGGACTTGGTCCGTCACCGACTCTTCCCTCGCGTCGGAGATTCCTGCACCCTCTGATGGAGGATCTGACGGCAGAGCAGGAGCCGATACCAAGAGATTGACGTAGTAAATTAAGTTTAATGAATAAGTAGGGCTCGCGTGGTTTTGAAGGATTGGTTTGTTTGGGATAGGAGGCGTTGTTTTTTCTTTTGTAAGGAGATCTATCGCTCAGATTCCGTGCAAGAGACATTGCGTAGGCAGAGATCCAGAACCAATGGAGTTGGAGGGTGTTTTGAAAGAATTGTGTTTGGTGAACAGCGACACAAAACATCCAAACATCCATACATCCATATTCTTTTTTAAAGCCCGCCTTTACTTAAATGAATAAGCGCCTACTTAATCAAGTAGGGCGACTAGTTCGCTATTAGGAGAAGTTTGCTCCTAGCTACTTAAGCTTGCTTCTAGTAGCTGGACGCAGGATAGCGCTCGCACTAATCATTTAGATGCTTAGGGAAACTTGAGGGATCGGTAATTTGGGATCTTTCGTTTCTTTTCGAAGAAAGATGTCAGATCCTCCCAGACGTGCCTGAGAGGTGTGGTTTCTGAGGGATGGTACAGATCCGGCCGTGCGAAGACCCTGAAGAGGGTCACCGTCATGGTGAAAGGATGAAGATGTCGAGTTATTGATATCACGGTTACGTCACTGTCTGGTGATCTTTCTGACCTGAAATCATTCTTGCTACTTGGTCCAGGGTCCATGGAAACACATGAGCACAGACTGAGTACAGACCCATCATGCACCGCGCGCCGTGATCCAGCTGGGTGGAAGATCTTCCACCGAGCAAGCGGGTCGTCCACGTTGCCGACGGCCAAATCGTTCTGCTTTACGCCCGAAATCCTCAGCATCGGTGTGGAATGGTGGACCCGAAGACGAAGTGTTTGAATCTTTGATTCCCAATCTTAGTCCCTTCCACTTTCAGCAATGTTATTAGTAGCTTCTTGCTCCTAGTAGTACAGCCAGGAGCCCCTAATAGCGTCCTTGCTAGCGATGCCAGGAGCCCCTAGTATTGGTTTCGATATGTTTCCATAAAGATCGTCCTTTGAAGGTGAACACGGCGTAAGATGTAAGGATGTAGCCTAATCATGCGATTCCTCACCAGATGACTTGCTTGGGAGATCCCTGGCCTGCAATTCATTCCCAGGGCACAGCAAACATCTCGATACCCTACTTCATCAATCACAGCAAAAATTGTGCGGTGGGGTGATTCGTACCCCCTGTCACAGCGAAATCACCAGAAGATTCATTGTTGTGTCCAACAGATGTATGTGTCCACTTCCCATAAGACCGACGCCGATCTCGGGCAGCCAACCTTCCGTGTTTGTCTCTTGTGGCGCTAAAAGGGGAAGAGTCACCACGGGGGATGCGATGCGGAACCGAATGACATGTCAAATCTGCTCAGATATGTAGATAAAGAATGACGATGATGTGCTTTTAGGTTTGGCTCTTGGGAAAACTGCTCCGGAACGCCGATCTGGACCGGGCTACGGAAAACATGGATGCATGAGGGTCAGATTCGTCTGTCTTTCAGTGCCATTCCGAAAACCATTGCTGTTGGGTTACAAGGTTGACGAGAGTCCGCCCAGCGGTATAGAGACTTGAGCCACTTCTGATATTTTTATCGTAAGATTCGCCATGTCAGAGTGCCTCCCAGGAATCTTGTCTTCCCAAGAGCATGATCCGGACGTGGAGACCCACGACTCACTGGTGTGAAAGACAGCTTGCTTGTGTTTCTGCAGCAGAACCCAACCACCGGTGGACCGTCTTCTCGTGCAAAATCCTGAGGTGAGCAGAGAGGAGCACTTGACCCCCCCAGAGGATGAATTGTGTGCGATGGAGTACAGACAAGGCAGATTTTTAGTAACAAGGACATTACTACTAGTAGCTAGAAGCTACTAGTAACAAGGGCATCGCTACTAAAGACTGGCTCTGTCTGCCGATGTGGAAAAACAGCTGACGTCATTCTGAGCTTGTCAAGCATGTGTTCCAATCCCATCTAGGCGCAAAAGTGCAAGGAAGTCTGAGGCAGTCTCGAGAGAGAGAGAGGCCACTACTACGGTAGAAATCGAAGATTGGAACCACACGTCTCCCCTTGAACACGTCATCTTCCTCCCCCTGCGATCGAAGGCCTGTGTGCTAAACTCATGGACCCACGAGTTTTCAGTTGAACACATGACCAAAGTGACTAACCCTTGCTGCTTGTAGCCGTTTGATTCATTTGTCCCGCCAAAGGCTCATGCCCCTGCCCCAAAGCTGGACTCAAACACCTATCTTCGGAGAGACAAAGCTCTCTTCCAAAACCTCACTGTGGATTGCCACGGTTGGATCTCTAGCAAAGAGTAAGCACACATCTCAATGTCCTGGTGTACATCAACTTTGTATTTGCAGCTGCTTGGTTCAAGCTGCAACTCAGCAGCCAATCGCTGTACGACCACATCAATTCTTGGGGAGGCAGGATTGAAGATTACAGGAATCTAGGAAAGCTTGGTGCACATCCATGCCTAAGTCATGTAGGTTGGAGGCCATCACTTTTAGGTTGGAGGCCATTGCTATTAGGCTGGAGGCCATTGGGCCATTGCTATTAGGTTGGAGGCCGCCGCTATTAGGTTGGAGGAGGCCACCGCTATTAGGTTGGAGGCCATCGCTACTAGTAACTCAAACGAAATTTGCTTTTTGTTCTATTCATTACACTAATTTGAGTTCAAAAGACTATGTACCAAATTTTTGGTTCAGTGGACTGACCAGTGGAGATCGCTGCAAGCAAGTGATTTTCTGGACCTAGAAATGCTGGAAAACTCATGGCAACTGAAAGACCTGTGGAGCGCTTTATAACTTTATGTGTTGTTTCTTTCCAAAACGGACAGAAAACAACAACTGACCTGTGGCCATGCGCAACTGAAAAACGTCTTTCTCTGCTTGGCAGGGACTCCATAGACCGCACACGATGCCTTCGGTGCAAAGCCAAGACGAGCATCCGGCTAGAATGCACAGTCATCGCACGTGGGGGAAGCAGTCGATGTTTATTGCAAGTAAATGGTAGTGGAAGCATCAGTGAAATGCGCTTCAGAAGCATTCTAGAAGACCCAACGATTTCTGCCGTGGTCGAAGCTACTGCGTGCTCTGCACACTGCACACTCGGCCCAGGAAGGCCAAGTCATCGGGCAATGGGCCTGTGACATGATCATGAGCGAAGTCTTCCACCTCATCGATCTGAAGGAAGCGATGAACGCATCGGAAGCTTTTCATCTACGAACTCTGAACTCCATGGGACGGCTTGTGGCTTGGAACTTCGTATAGGTCCACGAAAGGAAGGAAGTTGAATGTTCCGCCGGTTTGTTCTGTGACCTTTCAAGACAAATTGTCTGACACGAAGCACACGAAGCACAACTTTCCGGTCATTTGGTCGCCAGGAGTTTGCCCACAACAAGGAGCGTATCGGCTCAGAAAGCTCTACTGAGGCAGTCGGAGCTGCACCCATTGACACGCGGCGAACATGTTGCCTGATTCGCATGGTTTTTATTCTGGACTCCGTCATAAAGTCTGGATTGCTTTTGATGGTAGAAAGATCGGTTGGCAACAAGCTGCTAAGACGATGCAATCCATTTCCCCCAAAAGCCTCTTCTTTCGTTGAGAGAAACGTCTAACGAATTCGAACGATCTCTACATAATCCATTCCTGTGGAGGGCCATCCCTCTTAGGTTCCCTATCTTGTGTGCAGGCTGAACCCGAGCCTCCTGTGGAGTCGGAGGACCACTTCGGGACGGACTCGCTCCGCTCGGTCGAACGGGGTATGTGCTCCACAGATGCAGCTGTTCTTTGCTTGTCCTTGCTCCTAGTAGCGATGCTTTGCGTTCCGTGGTGTTCGGTCTTTCTTGTTCTTGGTTGAATGGATGGATGATTCTCTTTGCATCTATTCTTAGAGCATCACCTGCCTCGAGGGGCAGAACTGGTGAAATCCAAATGCCCTTGACTCTAAATGAATCGGAACCCCCTCAAAGATGTTGAACAACGCCGTCGCAGAAAAGCCCAAGTTGTAATTCGAGGTTGTCTCTGACCCTCGGCAAAACCATGCAGATTACAGCTCTTCATGAGTCCATGAGTTTACACCTGTTGCAATCCTCTAATCCTAACAGTGAATCTGGAACATGCCAACGATATGCCAGCGTTCTTCACCAAACACTTTGCAAGGCTATGGCTACTGGTATATTACATTAGCTATTTTGTGTGACTCCAGGTGTACTTTATGATGGAACTGCCCCAATAGTCCCAGCGTCCAAATTCTTTCCAAAATCTTCGAAGAGGAAGAATTCGTCTCAACTACGGCTCCTGCTCCTGCGGCTCCGCAGGAAGCCGTTTCCAATGCTGCCTCCCTTCGTGGGGGAGTGCGCCCGATCCCATCCCCCTTGCAGGCGAAATTGGGGCAAACATGGCGCTTCCGGTCAGGAGTTGAAATCGGAGTACGGACTCTAATAGCTAATTGAAAATGAGAATAAGCACCTAATAGCGATGGCTCTAAATTCGTGAAGACATCAAGCTGTGAACATATTTCGCACCCTTCGTCTTCGAACAAGATCTGGTTCAGGTTCTAAGATGTTCCAAGTGTGTGTGTTTTTTTGGTTTTAAAGATGTTTGCTCTTCCGACTGGTGGCACGGATTGTACCAAGGTGTGACTGAGCCCTCAGAAGGGAACTTTTGTCGGAGTTCTGCAAAAGACAAGTTTCAGTCATTGAAGTATTTTTTGGTTGAAGAATTCTTGATCCACTTGGGTGTAACAAGAAGCTAGCAGGTTGGAGGCCATCGGAGGCCATTACTACTAGGAACAAGAAGCTACTAGTAGCAAGAAGCTTTTCAGTATGTCTTTGAAGCTTCTTAGTAATAAAGCTTTCTAGTAACTAGAAGCTACTAGGTAAGATGACGTGCGTAGACGTGCGTTTGGCTTTTGCTCAAATGCCAATAATCCTCATGGAGAGACACCGGGACACCACTCCACTGCGCTTCGCCAGGATGATCCAAGTTGGGCTGGACACAAAGAAGAGGAGGCCACATGAAGGGCTCATGTCGTGGTTCCGAAAAAAGAAAAGCTCCTGAAACATAAGTGGCCTCCAACCTACTAGCGATGGCCTTCTGAAACATATCAATTCTTGTTCCTATTTGGATCCATCTTCAATTCTTCATTTTGCTTTGCCTTACCATTAGTAGCTTCTTGCTCCTAGTAGTAAGGCCAGGAGCCCCTAGTAGCGATGCCCTTGTTCCTAGTAGCGATGCCCTTTGCTCCTGCTTCGTCCTTTGAGTCCTTCGATCCGAGAGCCAAATTGGCTGCCCACGGTCGGAACATGTGGACTGTTACGGGATCGTCGAGTGTTTGTCTTTTCAGGTTCTTTTGACGCGAAGAACGGACCTGGGGGTCGCATATATGGTGCACTTTGATGACTCCCAAGTGTAGCTTACATTTTCCTGCTTTAAAGTGTGCAGTCTTGGCTTTTGCTACTAGTATACTACGACCACGATCAAAACATATCAAATCTCTTCCTCAATGGAAAGCTCAGGAAAGACTGAAAGAGGATGGTCCGTAGATTCCTAGGATGACCCGACTTTCCTTTTGACTTTGGGGAGATGGTCGAAGAGCAAGCTCGACCGAATTCTCAAAGGTTTGTCCCGACATTTCAACACAATGCTCCCCACAAAGATGTGTAAACAATTATAAACACATTTCCTACATTTCAAAATTTGTGCACCAAGAAAATCTGGCAAAAGAGACCCTCTCACTCTTTGCATAGTCTTCTGAAATGGCAATGAGAAGTAGAGGGCGAATGTCGGCCGTTTTGTTTCAATTTACCTTTCTCCTTCTCTATGGCGGCACACTGAACACCCGCGAAGTAGTTTGTGCTGTTCTCTCATCGGGCTATCCTTCACTAACGTGCAATTGTCACCAAGTAGCAACAGAATTTGGTCCTCACCAGCAAGTGTTGAGATATTTGAGGCGCCGAGTCCTTTCTGCTTCGGCCACTTGCCCTCGATGGTTCGCAGGGCAAGTTGCAGCCACCGAAGATGGCTGTCTCTCCATCGCCATCCCCCGAGGTCTGCATAACGCTTCGGGTTTTCCGGCGGGTGCGCCGGTCGCTGTGGTTTCGAAAACAGGTTTCTTCCGGTCCAGTCTTGCTGGTCCCGGACTTGGATGGAGAGCATGTTTGATGGAGCAAGCTCAAAGAATGATTAACTGTAAGTGTGTAACTTATCGTGCTTATATACTTACATTGAAGGGGGCGTGACCTCTTCAAAGCACGCTTCGCCAATCTTAGATGCTGAATTCCCTCCTGTTCCTGGTTTGTGGAGTGGGGACACCCAAGTCAGGTTGATCCGTCCACAAGGGGATCTTGTAGCTGGTGTGGACTGCTCGCAGCTTGCAGCTTTATGAGATCAATGAGAAAAACAAGGACCAGAATGGACTGCCAATGTCAGGTTGCCCACGTTTGAGGAGATTATCTAACTCTGCAAACCAGTCATTCATCATGTCATCCAAAACATGAAATTGGTGTGAAAAAGATAGAGCAGCCTCTCACTTAATGGAATTAGTAGCTGAGTTTTTCTCTGGAAACGAGGTGGAGGTGTCAGGCATGCCATCTTTTTTGTGGTGTGCGGTGTGTATCATGTTCAGCCGCTTCCAAGCTGCTTTGAGAGACACATCAGGAGCCCTCCATAGATACAGGTTTAGACAAAGAAATGAGGGAAAGACTGACTTCACCCGGATTGTATCAGCTTTCATCTGCCAAAAGCAGGTTCAATCTCCGACTGAAACCAGAACTTGTTTTGTGGATCCTCTCCTCTCCGGACTCCTCTCGCTTTCACGCCATGGCGTCTATCTTTGGGCTGCTGGACAAACGGCAACGACAAGTCGGGGGACCTGACCGTCGACCCGTTCGCTGTTTGGAAGTGATTTTATTGGCGCTGTTTGTCAGCTAAGCGTGTGGATATGTCTCTTGGCAGTGTGTCTCTGCGAAAGGGATGGTTCAGCACGACCAAAGCTTCCAGAACAAGATCGTGGAAGTGGCCGAGTGAGAACGAGAAACGCCGCAGCATGTCCTGCCTAAAGCGGGAAGCATCCTGTGGTCGTGGTCTCCAAGAAGTGGACACCTTTGTTTTCAAGAAGTTTGGTCTGAAATTCACTCGTCCCATTTTCTCACAAAAGAACGGCATGATTCGAAGGGTTTTTCTGCAACACCTCGCCCAGGCGGACGATGCACAGTTCGCACAGGACTTGGACTTCTCCTACGAGGAGGGTCAGCTTGGGTGTGGTCCAAGCAGCCCAGGGTTGAAGCGCATGGGGTCCTCTCAGATCCTCAAATCTCGTTGCAAGAAGCTACTAGGGGCTCCTGGCCTTATTACTAGGAGCAAGGACGCTACTAGGGGCTCCTGGCCTTATTACTAGGAGCAAGGACGCTACTAGGGGCTCCTGGCCGTACTACTAGGAGCAAGGACGCTACTAGGGGCTCCTGGGCTTATTACTAGGAGCAAGGACGCTACTAGGGGGTCCTGGGCTTATTACTAGGAGCAAGGACGCCACTAGGGGCTCCTGGCCTTATTACTAGGAGCAAGGACGCTAGTAGGGGCTCCTGGCCGTACTACTAGGAGCAAGGACGCTACTAGGGGCTCCTGGCCGTACTACTAGGAGCAAGGACGCTACTAGGGGCTCCTGGCCTTGTTACTAGGAGCAAGGACGCTACTAGGGGCTCCCGGGCCTATTACTAGGAGCAAGGACGCTACTAGGGGCTCCTGGGCTTATTACTAGGAGCAAGGACGCTACTAGGGGCTCCTGGCCGTACTACTAGGAGCAAGGACGCTACTAGGGGCTCCTGGCCGTACTACTAGGAGCAAGGACGCTACTAGGGGCTCCTGGCCTTATTACTAGGAGCAAGGATGCTACTACCAACACAGCTCGTTCTAGTTGTAAGTTTCAACATGTTTGTGAAGGTGATGGATCGATATGATTCGAATATTGCGCTGTACCCCTGCACTCTGAGAGCACCAAAGCACTCCCTAGAATCTCTAGAAAGCTCCACAGAATCCGGTGTACCCGCTAGTATGCGAAAAACATCAAGTAATCTCAGATTCCATCCCATTGGTCTGAAAGCAGGCATAAGGTGTCTTCCTGTGTTTGTTGCTTTTCATTTAGACCTTGCTTCCTCTCATCGTCTCCGGATTCCGATTCCCAGCGCGAGGAGCGTGCGGACTTATTGGCCGATCTCTTGGAGGCGGTTCGAACGTGACGCGTTCGTCTCAACGTGGCGGTCGACGGCCCAAACGGGAGCATTGGAGGAAAAGAGAGCTGGCCACACTGGATGGCCCCGCCCTGGTGTTGTCCTCTTCTTGTCCTTTTTCCACAACCAGTTAACTGAAATTGGCCACAGTCTCTGGCCACGCCGAACCTTGTGTTCCGCTTATCCTCCTCCTGTTGCCGCCCTGTGGCCGCGCTGGCGAGCCCTGCGTCCTTCTCTGGTCCTCCTGTCCTCCTCCTGCCAGTGGCTGCGGTTGCAAACCCTGTGTGTCCTCCTCTTGTCCTTTTGTCCAGGTTTGCCTGTCCTGCTTGTCCACGTTGTCGGCCCTTTTATCACCGCCTTGTCCGGACCTTGTCCACTGCTTGGCCACGCCGCTTTTTCTCCACCGCCTTGTCTGGGTATGTTTTTGTGTGGCTATGAAGCAGTGATACAGCGTTTGAAATTGAAATGTTATATCACCCTCGGATTTTCTCATGACAGTGACACATATCCGATATCCCATAGAAGGGTTTTCTATATACAGTAGAAGGTGTCATAGTCCTCTTGTCCTCTTCTTCTCCTCTTGTTGTCCTCTTCTTGTCCCCTTTGTGTTCTTCTGCTCGCAGCACGTGCGCACGCGAAGCACCGTCCTCAAGCGCAATCCCAGGGCCCAATGCGAGAAAACAATGGCACACGAGCAAGCCTTGCGCGGCACCTAATTAGAGGGAAACCGCCAGCTAGCAAGCGCGAAGACCGCAGTCCCGCAGCATGGCCACGTGGCAGCCTGTCATGCGAACGAACGTGCACAGCAAGACAACGTGCACAGCATGCGAACCTCTCACTATTGTCCTCTACGCGGAGTTCTCTCAGTTCTCTCGTAGGAAAAAAGCTGGCCACGGCGTCAGGCCGCACTGGCTAGCCCTGTCCCTGTCCGGATGTGCTCTATCCTCTTGTCGCAAAAATTCGGCCCTGTTCTCGTCATTTGCCTTCTTGTTGTCTTTCAGTTGTTCATTGGCTGCGGCTGCCAGCCTATCTCCAGTCGTGCTCCTCCAGTCGCCGTCTTGTATTTCTCTTGCCCTGTCGTCCTCTTCTCCTCTTCCTTATGTTGTCCTGTTGTCCCTTTTGGCGTTGTCCGGTCACAGCTTGTCCTTCTTTTGTCCTTTTGGTGTCTTCATGTTGTTTTCCTTCCCTCGTCCTTTTGCCTTCTTGTCCTCCTCATGTCCTTCTGTCATCCTGCTGCTGTCGCGCTGACTACCTTGCATTCTGAGGCAGGGGCTGCGGCCGCCCACCACAACAATGACAATTCTTGCTGACGAAGCTGTTTGGGTATGCTGGTATAATGTTAAAATGCTTTACTGATGCCAGTGCCCATCTGACCAGTTGATCCAAAACAACATTGCATGGAGGTCCTGCTCCGATGAGTCCCGAGGATCACTGTGTGTCCGGTCGAACGTTGTGAAGCATCCATCAATCGGAGCGAACGTAGCAAACATACGTTCACGGAATCCCCTTGTTTGACCACATCAATTCTGGCACCGCAGTGTGAACTTCTTTCACATCTCCCATTCGCAAATTTCTTCTGGCCGGTACCGGCCGGCAGCCAGGATGACACCTCGCTCTTTCCATTGTTGGATTGTCCACCGGAGGCCGACCGTTTTGTGGTCAAGAGTCGAGTGGTTGAGGCTCGGTTGAGGACAGATGTCAACCGTTTCCCGTTTGAGAAGTGAGAAGAGTGAGAAGAACAAGAAGGGCCTGCATCCTAGTAGCGATGGCCTCCAACCTACTAGCGATGGTGGACTTGTGACAGAAACGTATTTTTACTAGCGTGCACAGTTGACACAAGCTCTCCTTCACCGGAATCACATGAACTAGGTCTTGTTGGCACACCGTGCTTGCCGGGTCTAGGGTTTCATGTTCATCAAGGTTTTGCGACTGGTGGGTAGGAGTAAGAGTTTCAGTTCAAAAGCTTAAAGTCTTGGTGGAGGCCATCGCAATTATAAACAAAGAAAATGAAAAGGAAGAAAGGTCTTAGATCATCAAGGTTTTGTGACTGGTGTTTCAATTCAAAAGCTTAAATTATCGTTTTGCCACGTTTTGATGTCACGAAAGGTAGCTTGAGCTACCTGAGTTCTCCTTGCTTTAGCAAAAATGTATTACAATCAGGAGTTGGGATTGTGCATTGAGTTTGGTCCTGTAAGAGATGATTCTGGTCGTCGGGGGGGGGGGGCCCCTGGATCAAATCCCCCCTGCGCCGGTTCACGCCGTCATGAACTTCTACCAGGGTTACTTGTGATTGCCTGCTACCTTTCGTTCACCCCCTCCTCTCTCAAGTCAGTACAACAGAGCACTTCCACCACTTACCTCAGTGCCTGACTAGCTCGCTGACCCTGTGAAACGGATTTCCTCGTTGTGTTGCAAGTATGATGTGTCGGACACTTGAGACATGCTACGAGGAGCAAGGACGCTACTAGGGGCTCCTGGCATCTGCTACTAGGACCAAGGACGCTACTAGGGGCGCTCCTGGCCGTACTACTAGGAACAAGAGTGAAAGAAAGATTTCAACTTGGCACTGGGCCTGCCGCACGGTGGCACTGGCATCCACCAACCGAGCAATGCAATGTAGACTATATAACTATACCTTTTGCACAGCGATTTGGCTCCAGACATGCTAGGAGACTCAAGCGAAGTATCCATCCACTGGCATTGAGAAATCATTCTTAGACGCAAACTGGCAAAGGAAGCATGCCTAATGGAACCCTGGCCTCCACCCAGTAGCTTCTTGCTACTAGTAGCGATGGACTCAGTTTGCACCGAAGCCGTCCCGTTCAGGTCTTGTCCTCGGTGCTGCTTCTTTCAGAGTCTGGGCTCGGTGGTCGTCATTTCTTTTGTGAGAATGCAAGTATCCCAAGGCAAACAACACCAAAAGCACAGATGTTTGGTTTCTGCGAGGGTTATACGGCAGTGAGCCAGACGCATCCGTTTCAGATGGCTCTTCTGAAGTGGCTGGTACTGAAAAAGCCTGGTGGCAACCCATTACAGGATGGTAGATGAAAGCCTTGGGCAAAGAGATTCATCAATATTTATCATATTCCATCACGATTCTTCACTGCAAACAGCATAGCTGCATGTTTTGATGGCTGTTTTATGAACCTGCTTTTACGAAACCCCTGCCGGTGCGGGCATTCTTGCGGGTTCACATGTTCATATATGTCCATCTCGTGATCAGTTACGTCCTTTTCCAAGCAGACGGAAGTGCGGATGGGGGTGGTCTCCACCGATGGTATCGGCTTCAAACTCGGTTGTGCTTCGGTCGGTTCGGACAAGTCTAAGAGTCCACGTGGCATTTGTTTTCCGACGGTCCCTTTTACGAACTGTTTGCCCACTCGTTGGTGTTCGAGGAAGCGGTGACGGCAGTGCGGATGCGACCGCTGTGCCGTCAGATGCGAGTGGCCGTGGACGGCAATGAAGGCGCAAAAGCGATGGGAAGCGACGAAAAGACGTTTTCGTTGGCTGACCAAAAACACCGGCAGGAGCAGCGATACCAATACAGAATAATGCAGATACCCCCGGTACCCACCTTGCTTTGGATCACTTTGGAGTGTATAATCTTTCTCGTTATCCAATTCTCCTTCTTTGAAAGGCTTTCTCCTTCAGAAATGGAAGGCCATCCCTGTAGGTTCGAGGCCATCGCTATTAGGTTGGAGGCCATAGCACTGACCAGGATTCCCTCACTTCTTCTGAGCCTTTGTTTGCTTAGAGGTTTTCTCCTTCAGAAAGGAATCCTTTTTCCCAAGTCCACTCCTTTATGGAACATATTGCAAAATGCTTCTCAGTGAACCTTCTTCTCAACCCACTCGTCTTGTATACATATCCAGAATTAAGTTTCCTCAAATCCACTCCAATCTTTAACCTTCAAACCGTCTTGCAAATCTTGCAAGGTGTGTGTCCTCTGAGATGCTCTAAGTATAGGTGGGCATTGTGTGATTTGAAAGGCACCTCAAAATCAGCAGAGAACACCGTGAATTTCAGAATATCACCAGCAAATAGCTACTAGTAACAAAGGGCATCGCTACTAGTAGCAAAGATGCTACAAGTAGCTCCTGGCCTTACTACTAGTAGCAAATAGATCGGAACTTTCTATTGCAGAGTTTCTATGGGTACGGGGACTGATGGTGGGGGGCACCATACATACGGAAGTCCCAAGACTATAAACGTTGAAAGTAGAGGAAGTTCCTGAACCAGGGTCGCCTAACGGCATTTTTCACTATAGTCTTGGACTCCCAGGGTATAAGCAATATGTTCTTTTGCTTGGCAAATAGTAAACATCCAATCGACTCTTTTAACAGGGTTCCGTCTCGCAGTCTATTTGGTATTTCCTTCCGATCCCAGGCCTCTGGAGTCTGCTGACCTTGCGCGACTTCGCGGATTTGGGGGGCACCACCAAGTGCCTCGACACAGTGACACCTTGGCGAATTGACTCTGGTAAAGAAAGCAACCTAATAGCGATGGCCTCCAACCTAGAGAGAACTCTGCGGTACGTGCATTTTTCTGTTTAAAGGGAACCGTTGCTTTTGGTTCCCTTTTTGCTCGATGAAACCATCGGTGACGTAGACGTGATCAGTCGATTGGAACTTTGAAAGGCACTACGTGGGTCTCAAGACCTTGGCTGAGTGGGATGAGTCAAATGCCACCAGGCACGCACGAAAATCCCAAAGATTTACGGACGACGGAAGCAAATCAGAAAAGAATGTTTTCGTTCAGGCTCAGTCCGATGTTTTTTGACGCCTGAAAGATCACAAAGCTCCGAACGCTGCGAGCGCTGCGAACGGCGAGGCGCTTGGAGTGGGATCCCCTGATGATTTGCGCTCCGCCACCGCTGCGCTATTCACTCTTAGCAGCCATGCAGGCCAGGTCTCAGAGTGGCCAAGGCAATGTTCTGTCGCAAGGGTCTAGGCACTCAGCATGACCATGCATGACCCAGATCCGTAGATCATGTGTGTTTTTCTTCAGGTGCTTGGTGTGGAGAGTAGTCAAGCATATTCTAGAAAGTACTGCATTTTGGAACTGTTGAGCAACCGCCTTCTTTGACCAAAACAAACCTTGGTCGGCAAGCGAGTAGGTGCAAACCTTTGGCGGGACACAGCTTTGGTTTTGTTTGAGTTTCGAGTCGCGAGTTGAGGTGAGACGACAGCTTTGGTCCAAGCATGGACCATCCTTGGGGGCTGGCTGGGATTGGTTCAGCGCCAAGGCAATGGCATCGGATGTTGGGGTTTTGGTGTGAAAGGGAATACTGTTACTTGGTATTACCATAACATGCCTGAACCATTCATCCAGAAATCATGAGAAGGCAAACATGGCGTAGAGAACTTCTGATCTAAATTCTCCCTGGAGAACGGCTCCTGAAGGCAGATAGATTCGTCCATTTAGCCTGCGTTTGCAAGGTTTATGTTCACGATACACCAAAATCTCCCACTGTGGGACGTTTTGGTTCAAGTGAGTGAAATGCTCCCCACTTCAGATGGTGAAAACACTCGACTGCTTCTTTCGTTCAACACTGCCATGGCATCTTTAGCGACCACGGAGAGCTTTGATTTTTGGACCTGGAGGACACTGAGGAAGCGGCTGCGCAATTGGACGAGGGTGGACAGCTTGGACCTGCAGGGCCAGGTCAAGGCCCTGAAGAAGACTATGCCATGCGGGCTTTGGAAGTGAAGCATCACTTGCCCCTGCCACCAATGCCTCAGATCCCCCACATACAGATAGCAGCGCGCAGAGTCTGAATGAATTGATCGAGCATGTCTCCTTCGCATGGGACGTGTGCAGTGGGCGACCGCCTCCTGATCCCTTACCAAGCCCCTGCTGCAGCCTCTAGACGACCCCAAGGGCCCTTTCATCAAGCCTTTTGAGCTACGCCTACTTTCCCAAGAGCCCGTGGTGGGGGTGCAGTGACGCAAGTGTTTCTACCACACATGAAGCCCATAATAAGTTGGGGGCTGGTGTTCCTCGACCTGGCTCCACTTCCCTATCCGACCAGAAAACCAGCCTTGGGCTTTCAAGGAAGGCAATCACCAGAACGGATTGCTGCTCTCGAACTTCTGGGCACAGTGATCCTACGTTGCTACCTTTTGTGGCAACAAGGACCTTCGCAAGGGCGACTAAGACTACTGGCAACCTCTTCAGCCTGTTGACCTCTCGTCCAAGAAGCCCCACACCACAGCCCTCCTGATGGAACGGGTAATGCTTCTCCACCACAAAGGCTACTCAGTGGCACCAAGCCACATTCCGAGGAATTCAACCAGTGGGCCGATGATTCATCCGGATTTTAAGTTAAAGGTTTTACATCCGACGCGCGGCTGCCTATGCTTCCAGGGGCCTTTTGCTCGCCGAGGTGTCCGTGACCAGACCCGGTGGGTGACCACCTGAGGGGGGATAATGCTATTTCACACCAAGTTCACACGCTGCGGGAAAGCTCTGCCTGGCACACGGTTGCTTGGTAGCGCAGTTGGAGTGTATGCCAAGGCAACCGGGAACAGGTGGGATCAGAAGACCCACGCTACTCCAAAGCATCGCAAGAGAAACGAGAGCCGCTTTGCTGATCGAGCCTTGGGTAGACATTTTTGCTTTCAAGTGCATAAAGCTTGCCTTGCCAATGTTCTCAATTAAGTCCAACTCTCTCAACATGCTGATGAACCCTTTGAAGACAGAAAGTGTGGGGCGCACAAGTCTGACGAAGAAGAGGAGTGACTTCATTTGAAACAAAGGTCAAGAAGCGCCGAGCTTTCACCGCCGAGATCACGGGTCTCTGTTCGTCCGCGGCGTGGCGTCGGCCGATCTTTGCGGAGGTTTGCCGTCGGATGGCCGTGCCCACCTTCCTCCGCTGGGCGTCGCTGCAGCACGAGCCGCAATACCTCCAAGCCTTGCTACGCCCGCTCGGCCACTGGCAATTGTTAGAGAAAAAGGGAGGGCGGGGCGGGGTGTGAGTTTGGAATGTATGGCTGGTCTTAAAATATGGTTTGACTCAAGCTGTTTCTGTAGCTTTTGTTGGGGGTGTATGTTGTGCTTGTCGTGATCACGTCGTTTCCTTTGAGTTTTGACCCAGACCTTCAAGTTGTTTGTCATATTTTCTTCAGAGCACGTTTCTGGCAAAAACCTGCGATACCCGTGAACCCGTGAAAGAAAACGTTGATTTTATGGGAGTCGACAGTCGGCGGTCGATGGCAGATGGCAAGGGTGTCTGCATAAACCTCCGAAGTCGAAGAGGCGGACGATGACCCCCATCTATTCGGCGATTGATCTAGGAGAAAGACCGTCGCCTCACCCGTGGTTCTGTTCCACTAGAAAACCCGCAACAAAGCGGACCAGTACACGCCGCCGCCAGGGCAGTTTCAAGTGGAGAAAGTGTTCAGAATGGGTATATCATTTTTGTTCATCGACCTTTTGAGCATTTTTGAGACAACACCATGAGGTCCTTTCAGTGGAATGTTCAACCAAGGATGTTTTTTCCAAAAGGATGCAAAAACACATTTTAACAATGATCGTTGCATTTTCTCTCCGGATTGAACATGTCCCTCTTTCAGTATGGGTTCTTTCATTTTGCCGGGCCATGTTGGTGGTCTTTCTGAACGAGTCATTCAGACACTTCTATGTTGGAGACTGCCTTTTCAGGCCGAATCCCTGGCCAATGGTGGCGACATGTCATACTTGGCACATCCCACATGTAATCGCTGTCCGAATCTATTGAAGCCTTTACTTTGACACATTTTCCAACATGTGCCCAGTAAAGTAGCAAGGAACCCAAATGCCCAGCCATCTTCTTTCCAGCCGTATTGTGGACCCATGCCACCTTCTACCATTGCTAATGTTTTTGTTAATCTAGTCGAGGATTGGGGCCATAGGCCCAATAGGGCATCTGGAAATATGAGCCTCTCGAGCGCAGCAACCCTCGCAAAAGCGCAATAAACCTTGCGGTTTCCATCGCGCGTCCTGTCCAACGAGTCTCTGGGGGGCTACGCCTTGCAACGGTCGGGCAGCGCCCTTGCCAGCCAAGATGCCAGAGCGCGCCGTGTCCAATGACAATGTTGCTCTACTGACTCCACTGCCGCAATCTTGAAGATGAATGAACGAACAAGACAATTGAGGTTGACAAGGGGCAATTTCCGTGCTAGAGCCAAGGCGCACACCGCCACACATCTGGCAGACCGCAGCAGCGCCAGCGCCCAAGCTCCAAAGCGCACGCGGCCACACATCTGACAGCGGCACCAGCGCACGCATCTGGCAGCGGCACCCTGCAGTGGCACCAGACCTTTGGCGCACACGGACACACATCTGGCAGCAACACCCGGCAGCGGCGCCAGCGCCCAAGCTCCAAAGCACACACAGGCACCTCAATTTGAAGCATGAACACCAAAATAGCTCTCGCTCGCTATCTGGGGAAAACACGCACTCAAGATATTGCGTACTGACCCGATTGCGGCTTGCCACACGCCAACCGAGGTACCCATATTCCTGAGAACGGCAAATAAGGGGGTCTGAACATCCTGGAGGTCCAACCATAGGAAACGAGAGGCCCAAATCTCAAAGTTCGAGGTCGACGAAATCCCGCTTCAACACTTTCATCCATCTCAGCCACATCAGCCGCTCCGAGGCCTCTCCACCGAGGGCGTCAGAAAGCGCCGCGCGGCCGAGGTGGCGGGGACCGCCAACTCCGCAGCGACGGGGCCTCATGAGGCCCCCGAAGCCAAGCGCAGCAAGGCGAACGACACAGGTCCGGGGGTCGGGGAGCTGTGGGAGTTCCGGCTGCGTAGGATTGTGGTTGAGGAGATTGATGGAGGGATTGATGGAGCGAGTTGTTTGACATGCTGGCCAAACACGTGGCGTGTTTGTGTCTCGCGACAGAACCACAACTTTGCTAAAGTTGGCGCTTGCAATAGGAACATATATTTCATATACTGTGTTTGCTTGAACATTTTGTTGCTAACTCATGTTTGTCACTGAGATGGCTTCAAGAGGTGGATCCAAGGTCCTTCCGGTCTGTATTCAGGCACTTGCGGCATGCGCTTCCGCTGCGGGAGGAGCGACCAGGTCGGGTTGGGGAGTCCAAATCCAGAAAAGAAGAGGTCTTGACTTTTTTGTGTTTTAGAAGAACACCAAAAAAGGAACTTACTGAACTTACTAAACAATAATACTGCATCTCTTCAATTCGACATGTGGTTGCAGAGTGCTTCAGAGAAGGAGTTGTGGGATCCGCAAGAATCCAGAGATCCTGCGGGGGATCGCGCCAACATTCTTTCTCGTTCAACGGTTGGACGAGTGTGATCCCGCCTGGGATCCTTGGAAATTCCAACTTCCAACAGATCCCGTTTTGGACCTCACTTGGAGGTGGAGCTAAGCGAAGAAGCGGTTGTCGACATCTACGAGACGGTGCAACGGTGGCACACCCAGGAGTTCCTCGGAGACAGTTCCCTCGCTCCACCGGGACAAGGGATGTGGCGTATACTTAGTTTGTTTTTCATGTCGCAAGTGGCGAGGGGATCTTTGCTGTGACTCAGAAACCGTTCGTCTTCGCATGTTGAGATTTGCTGTGTCCTGCTGTTTCCAACCGAAACCATTAAGCCAAGAAGATTGTGGTTGCAACACATTGCAAGCGCACGGTTTCAGATCTCCGACTCTTCTTTCACTCACCAGGTCACCACGCTTCTCGCCCCCTTTGTAAGGCACAGGGAGATGATGAGGCAGCACTTCCGCGGCGGAGACGAGAAGAAGAAGGCCAGGCCTTCTTCGACGGATGAAGTCAGTGTGCCAAGATGTGCCAAGTGTCCAAGACCCGAGACGGTCCAGACGTTGGACGTTTGGCTCGGACGGGAAATCTGCTAGCCAGCGCACCTCACAAGGCTTCACAGCAGAAAACATAGCCAGGTCAGCTGGCTCGCACTCACCCCGACTGGTTGGGGTTGGAAGATCATGCCCTGTTGAAAGCTTCTTTAACTTTAAATGACACCATTTGTAACCATGTGTAAATGTCTCAACTTACCAAACTGTCAAGTTGGGAAGCGGGTGATTTGCACCCTTTGGCCGTCAAGATCCGTGGGGAAGCTAACGAGTAGGGATTTCATGTGGTGAGAAATCGACGGGGGTGCGAGCAACCCTCCCAAGTCTGCAGCACCAGGAAGGCAACCTGCCGCGCAGCAACAGTGGAGCCTTCAGCGTCACGCCCACTCTGGACGTCTCTCAGTGGAAACGACCGAACGATGCGCACAGAGCAAAGCAAACAATTGAAGCAGAGAGAGAGAGGGAGAGAGAGAGAGAGTGTGTGAGAGAGAGAGAGAGTGTGAGAGTGTGAGAGTGTGTGGGTAGAAGAGTGGCAAAATAGGACTGGAGGGACTCTCGATTTCCAATTTTTCCGGGGTTCACAGGGCATCCAATAGTGTGAAGAAGCGCATCCCCTTGACAACTGTGGGATACTAGACCCAATCAGATCTGGAAGAAAGGAAATTGCACCAGCATAGACCCCAGGTAGCGGGTGTATAGGTTTAAAGGACACGCCACGGACGGCTGTCGCCGCAGGACGCAACATCAGACTATAGTTCACCAATACGCGCAACGTCAATCAGCTGAACGCGCCCGGTTTGCCCAACATAGACGTAAAACTGCATGCAAGATCGGCAAGGACCAGCCAAAGCTGCCCGGACGACAGTATGATCATTGCTGCACACTTTGTCACGCGGAAGAATGACAGCATGTCATCCCTGGCGTGACATGATGTCATCCCTGCATGACGTGACGTCCTTCTGGGCTTGACATGATGTCATCCCTCGCGCGAACGAAACGCCGATCCAGAGCTCCACCACATTGAGAAGGAAGAGCCCCTATAGCTTGGGGAAGCGTCGATCCAGCACCAGCACGAAACGCCGACCCAGTGCCAGCACGGTTGCTGGTGCTGGGTGCCGGCGCCGGTGCTGTGAGCTGGCTGTTCACGTGGTGGAGACAGGTTGCTGGTGCCGGTGCTGGTGCTGGGTGCCGGGTGCCGGCGCTGGTGCTGTGAGCTGTTTGTGCGCGCACTGGTGGAGACACGGTGCCGGTGCTGGGTGCTGGCAGTGCGCGTGGTAGAGCCAGCGGGCGCCGGCGCCGGTGCTGGGTGCTCGGTGCTGGTGCCCGCGAAGTGACAACAACCGCCGCTTCTGACAGCGAAGGGTAACAAACCGCCGCCAGCAGCAGCGAAGGGCGACCAAGCGCCGCTTCTGACGATGAAGTGCCAGCAGTCATGGGCCGCGTGAGCTTATGCACGCAGCATCATGCGGTGTTGTCGCTTGAGCGTTCTTTGTCTATTAGCGCTGTGGGGTATTTACACTCTTCAGTCTTCAGGTTCTGTTTTTGCCGACAGCTGTGTCAAGGGCTGTACTGTTTGCGCGCATACTTTTGTACGTATATAGTATATTGTTCAGTGCGCAACGTCACGCTCTCAACCGACCATTGTTTCAGCATGCTTCAGCATGCTACACACACAATAGTCGTGCTGGATACTGCTTGGCCTTGGGCGAGTGAAGCCTACGGGCTTTGCGCCTGTGCGCATACTTTTGTGCGCATAAACTTATACGCGCAAGATCATATGGCCTTATCGTTCTGCAGATCGTTGCTTCAAGCGTGCTACAAAGTCAATAGTGACGCTACAAAGTCAATAGTGACGCTGGATACTGCAGGGCCTTGGGCCAATGACACTTACGGGCTTTGCTGTTTGCGAGCATACTTTTGTGCGCATCGACTTATCGCGCAAGACCATACATTGTTATTCCCCAAATAGATAGCTATGGGGTTCTTGCTGCAAATAAGAATGAGCTGGCTGCGCGCGCTTTGGAAAGGGTGTCGGTGCTGGTGCTGGTGTTGTGGTCCTGGGTGCTGGTGCTGTAGCTGATTGTGCGCGCTGTGGAGGTGCCGTAAGCTGGCTGTGCAGGCTGCGTGCATTCTTGTTCCAGCCAGTCGCATGTCAACAGGTCCGGGGATTCTGCCTAGCTATCTGGGTCTATGGTGCTTATCGGTTGAGGCCCACGAAGCGGCGGTCTTTGCGCTGAACGACTACGAGTCGGAGCTGACGCCTGCCGGGCCTGCGGGGCCGGCCAAGGCCGGAGCGAAAAGCAAAAAGATAGGAATGTGATGGAAAGGGAACCTAATAGCAATGGCCTCCAACCTGATAGCGGTGGCCTCCAACCTAATAGCATCCTTTAAGCCTAGAAGTCGTTCCAAGTCGCTGCAATTTTGGCCGAACCTACAATCACCATACCCAGCCGTGGGAGACTCGACAGATCCCCAGCTTGATTCGGTGGTGAAATGGTAGTTGTACAAGTCGAGGGGAGACAACAGATCACATCGCACAAGCGCTCTCGCACAAGATACGCCACGCACGTTGCAAATATTGAATTCGTCGGCAAGAAGCAATGGCATTTGACGTGTTTTCTTTGGCGAGTGGTTCAGGTGTGAAACAGATCTACTGGAGGTATAGAGGAAAGTCACCCACAGATTTGCCAGGTTTGGAGGGTGAACTCTTAACGGCTTAACGGTCAGCAGTGTCATCTCTGGATAGAGAAGCAATTACCAAGAAATTGAACACTGCGGGTTGGGTAATGTTCATCCAGCTTTCCCACAGAGAATTGGAAGATGCACAATCAATCCTGGCAACACCTTATGTCCGGCAAGAGCCGTACCGTGCCCCGCCACTAGGCTGCACAACAAGCAAACGGGGTGACATCATGTCATTTTTTCAGACTGATAATCCATTTCACCAATGAAACATGAGTGAAAATGCGTGAACATGACCATCCATTTCTTGAATGCACTCGAGCCACCGCGATCTTGCGAGCTGCGAGCGCTGCCCATCCGCAGGTGCCAGCGTCCACGGGAGCTTCCCGTGGAGCCGCGTCAAGTCACTCGGTGTGCAGGATCCTCCATGACATCACCCACTAGCAGTGAAAAGACGTGACAAGAGATTTCATAAATCGATTTTGGTAAAATTCTAAGGCAACATGTCAAGACTGCCATGTTCTTTGGTCATGCCGTCCTCTGTCGTGGCCAAGGACACATCGAGGAGGCCCAGCTGAGGCTGGCGATGGAGTTGTCGAAGAAGGAGGCCGAGGAGGCCCGAAGGATGGCCGGACGCCCGTTGGCTCTGGATCTCCAAAGACCTTGAAACTCAGGTAGAGAAGCACATCTTCAAATCCATGTGGTTACTCAGATGTTTGCAACATCATCAGACTCAGACCGCTTGGTTTCTTTCGGTTGACTGGGTGACTGGGTGGACTACCAGACAAGTTCTCCATCCGAAGGTGAAAACATCAACACACCCAAAGACTATATCTTGCTCGACTGAAGAGACGTTCCTTTTCAGGTCACCTGAAGACCCTTTTGAGAAGTCTTGGCCTCCGGCCGTCCTTGAAGTCCTTGAAGCGTCGTCTTGCTGCCTTGCTCGCTCCAGGCAGCTTCCGCTCCACCCGTGGCCGTCGAGGAGAAGGCGGAGCCTGAGGAAGCGCCGAAAGAAGAGAGGACGAAATCTATGGCCGTCGTCCGGTCGCCGTCTCCGGCGTGTTCGAGGCGATGAGGTTGCGATGAGTGAAGGCCGCAGGAGCAAGAACGCTACGAACGGGGCTCCTGGCCTTACTACTAGGAACAAGAAGCTATTAGAAACAAGAAGCTTATGATAATTCTCGGATGCCGCTTATGATCATGCTTATGCATGACTTAATTGATTATATGGTTAGAGCCCCATCGGTCATTTACGGAGGCCATAGGTCCATTTCTTCCAGCGTTTCACTCACACCCTTTTTTGATGATTTCGCATCCAGGAGGGAAGAGGTTGTTGCTGCTGAGCCTGAGGAGCGAATGGGGGGATCCGAAAGATGTGGAAAGGACGGCCTTTCCCTGTCATCCCTGTCTAACACTCCGGAGGTTCACAGCATGCAGATTGAAAGTGCATAGAAAGTCGTGCAGTTCACCTGCCTCGAAAATTCGCGCCAGTTCAAAACCCTCCACGGTCGCGTTCACATGTGACACGTTCGTTAGGAGCCTCGGGAGCCGGAGTTTGAGGGTTTGCCCTTGCGTGGGGAAGGCACTCACCTTCCGACCGACGCTGTGGGTGTTGCAATTCGCGATGCGATTGGTGTACAGTGTGACACCACCGGTTTTTGAATCTTCCGAAGGTGAGATGGATTTGACAAGCAGAAGGGCACAGGGCCCTACATTGATCCAAGAGCTGCTTACATCTACCTACCCTCCCAACTCACTTGCGCCAGCCCAGCGTCCCCTCAAGAAACCACAAGAAACCACCACACCCCAAGCACAGAGACTCTCAAGGAATGAGAACTGAATGGCCATGAATGGCCGTAGGTGGCCGTGGGATTTCTCGGCTTCTTCTCCCCAATTGCGATGGCCTCCAACCTAGTAGCGTCCTTGCTACTAGTAGCGATGCCAGGAGCCCCTAGTAGCTTCTTGTTCCTAGTAAGGCCAGGAGCCCCGTTCGTAGCGTCCTATGTCATGGCCTTCTTCTCTCCTTCTCAGGTGGTCAGGCGGCGGCGCAAGTCTTCGTGAAGCCGCACTGCCTGGCGCAGCGCGTCGAGGCGTTGCCCGACGCCCTGGAGCGCTCTATCGAGTCCATCGTGCCGTGGAGCACGTCTACGAGTCGTTTGTGACGAGTGGACTGGATTTGAAACAAACACGGTTTCGTGTTGCACATGTGGTGAGTATAGGCGGCCCAATTTAGAGCAGAGAGCGAAGCTTTTGAGTGTCACCGCAGGTGATGGCAGGAAGTCTTTACAGGTCCAAGAGGGTCTGGGATTCATGATTCATTGAAATACGATACTATGAACAAGAAGCTACTAAGGGCTCCTGGCATCGCTACTAGGAGCAAGGACGCTACTTGTGCTTCTGCCAGTTCTGTCAGCGACGCCCAGGTGCACAAGCTGGTGACACCCAGCAGTTGGGCCCTGCTGCCACTTAGAGCGCTGAAGAGTGGGAGAAATCCAGGACCTGTTAGTTGGCCTATCCGAAAAGGCAAGATCTATTGAGCGATGTTTGGTTTTAATCTGGTCTCAGGATGTCACTGGTCCAAAACATTCCAAAACTAATTCAAAGCACAACAGAGAGTCTAGGTTTCGGTCCAGCCTGCTTTCCCGCCGTGTAGAGCTACTTGTAGTTGAGTTGGAGGTTCTGTTGTGTTCTGTCCGCACAGTGGACTAGACACGTTAAGCAGGTGAAACCATATTGAACCTTGGCACGCGGCAGCTTCACAGATCGGATTGAACAACAGCGTGGTTTGCAGCTCTTCGATTTACTTCTTCACCCGGAATGAAGCGGCACCTGTTTCGGATTTGAAGCGATGCGATGGTCCGTTCCCAGACCCCGTTCGCAGCCCAAGTAGCGATGTTGGTTTCGTAGGGAAGTCGACGAACAACACCGAGGTACGAGTCCGTGACCGAAGAGCTTTGTTTGCGAGCGAAGTGTGCAGCACATGCCTTATGCGTCCCTCGGAGTTGGGTCACCGAAGAGCGGAAGATTGGAAGTCGGTTTTTGGGCGAGAATGGTCCACATGATTGTTCTTTTGAAACGAACCTTCTTTCATCTTCGTTCGATTTATAAAGATGCTCGGTGGGATTGAACACTTCATGGTGAAGATTGACCTTTTTCTGGATTGACCTTCCCCACAAATGTAGAATCAAGTGGTATGGTGAGGGTTCTGGAGGGGCTGGGGGGCTTCCTCTACCGGGCTATTGCAAGACATTTTCGCACACGTGCCCCTCCATCCAGAAGGACCACATCCTTGACAAATACACATCAAACCTGAGGATCGACTCCGTCAACCGGTACCGATGGATGGCCCATCTTAGTGGTAAGGCCAGGAGCCCCTAGTAGCTTCTTGTTACTAGTAGCGATGCCCTTTGCCCCTAGTAGCGTTCTTGCTCCTAGGACTCCTAGTAGCGATGCCAGGAGCCTAGTAGCTTCTTGTTGCTTCCCCTAGTAGCGTTCTTGCTCCTAGGACTCCTAGTAGCGATGCCAGGAGCCTAGTAGCTTCTTGTTACTAATAGAAAGGCCCTTTGTCCGTAGCAAACATTGACACCGGAGAAGACGGAGACGAGACTGAGGCTTCGCACGCGAAGGCCATGGATCAGCTGGATGACTTGGCCACTGGAGAGGCGGCCAAGTCACAGGCACTGGGTGGAACGGTGGATGACAATAGAGCTGGCGAGCAAAGAAAACAGATTGGAAACTACCAGTAGCGGTGCACTTGTTCCTAGCAGCGACATTTGGCCTCTGCGTTTTTCCCGAGCGGCGAATGTGGAAGTGTTCTGGGCCCAAGAGTATTCGGAGGCTTCGGATTCCTGTTTGACACGTCCAATCTCCTGCTTCACAAACCTTAAGCTTTACGGTGCTCCAGGTCAGGTCGCAAATTGGAAGACATGGTCTGCAGGGCTTGAGGAAATCGAGGAAGGACTTGGCAATTAAGACCTTCATGGGCAGCCAATGAAGATAACTTGCCGAAATGGGACTTTGGACAAAGAGGGCCAAATGTTTGTTGATAATGGTGAGTCCCGCACAAGCATAATGTGCCAAATCTGATGAAAGAATCGGAGGAAAAATGCCTTCTCTGATTGTCCTTTGGGGTATCGCTTGGGCGGTCTGCTCGCATGGGTGGGTGGAGGGCCATGGGGGGCCCAAGGACGGTAGCTTCCGGCTTCCGGTAGAGATAGTGAGTTGGGTCATGGTGTCAAGTCTTTGCTTCAAAGCACACATATTGGAAAACCCCAATCCTGAAATGAGGACCAGCACGGAAAGCCTCCATTGATTGCTTCCTCCAACGCTGCCAAGTATGTTTCTGAGAGCAGTTGATTTGGCAGGTACAAACAGAAAATGCCCCAGTGTACATCCAACGGTTCCCCAGGTCCCATTCTCGATTCTCGTTAGGTGCCGGGTCTCCCCAAAAGTCACAGGTTTGGGAACTTCATTCCAAGCGAGCTTAATCCAGGAGTGCTACGTGTGTTGCATTCGGGTTCGGGCCACCCGTCGTCTATTTTTTTTTTTAAGCGTAGCGAAGGGTTCATCGAGCATGACGCGGTCCTCGCAACCTGAGATTGAGAGGAATGAGGAGGAGGCCACACGGAATTCAGCAGTTGAATGTAGCGTTCAGCTTAACCATGCTAGGCGCATCTCTTTGTTGAGCACATTCCGTCAACCAGCGCAGCAAGGACCCGAAGCGCACCACGCCTCATGCGAGACAGATGCCCGAGCCGCTTTTTTCACAGGCAGCTGCTCCCTGTGCAGAGGCCAGCGCGTGCTACCCACTTGATGCAGCCTGCTGTTGGATCAGCTTGCTCGCGCAAAGGTGAGCTTTTCGAGTTGGATAGCAGCACAGCCTAGTGAGTGCAATGTTGGGGGCTGCGATGCAACATCAGCCAAAAATCTGGGCCCAGACTTGTGGGGGCAGCCGCGCCCCAGCGAAGCCCGGTGGGTCAGGGCGCCGACCAGATCTCGTTGGACCATGAGCGGATGTGCCTTGGGCGGTTCTTCTGCCAAGGGCACAGGGTTCCTTTTCATGCTTTTTCTCACGCGCCCTGCCAATTACCGGAAATACCGGGCGCAAACAATTGTCAGGGCCGGAAAAATATACAGGTATTAGTTGGGGATGGCCCCTGCGCAACAGGAGCGGCCCCGATCTGGAAATCAACAAATGGAAAGGTTTCAAAAAAATGAAAGCCTCGGTTTTGGAAAGATGCTCCCTGGGTCCTTTGCTCGTGATTCGTGGGATGTACCCTTGGTCCTTCCCTAAGTTTGTGATCCGCCTCACCTAACATCATCCGCATTAACAAAAAAACGGTTGAAGTCTGAAACCGGTTGTTTTCCCAAAGATTGCTGCCAAGCGAAAACCCTTTTGGGATCGGCCCATTTGGATGAAACATGATGGGGATCGATTGCCTTGATCTGGAGGGCGTCAATTTTGGTTAGATAAGTGATCAGGTGTTTTGTGTGTGACAGGTTGGGCGGATGCGCAGTTTTTGGGTTTCCTGTGGGTTTGGTGACTGAGGTGCTTGCCGATTTGGAGAAAAAGTTTCGTGATGTCTGGGCTCTCGTGCCTGTCACCCGAGGGTGGATGCTCGGTCAATTTGTGATTCTCCATTGGTTTGCTTCACGCATTGCATGGCACATCCACTCGTGCTGATGCCAAGCACCCCGCCTCACAGTGTTACAAAAGGGCACAAGAGAATTACTTGTCCTTTGCACGTGTGACAACATCCGAACCTCATCGTTCTTTTGCTCAGCAAATGGGCTAGCGTGTTGTTCGATCTTCCGCTTCCAAATGTTTCCCTTCTTATTCCACGTCCACCACTCAGATGGGGACAAAACTCGTTTGTCCAAGGAGTGCAAAACAGAGCCCAGCACACCGCGCAGCTGCGGCTCAATGGCGCGAGGCACGCATTCCTGAGGCACGCCATGTCCCTCAAGCAGCACAAAACCACAGCCACAACTCCTTGGATATCAATTTTCCAAGGCTCAGGGGGACCTTCTCCTCGATAGTGAAAGTGTTGTAAACCTGTTTAATTATGTCATTGAGTGCAGACATCATTCATTTGGTGACAAACTGCAGGTTCGTTGCAACCTTAGGGAGACAAATCTTGTGCGGATAGGAACCGGGGACCGCCGGGGGCCACGAGGGACGCCCAAATGGGATGCAACGGCAGCATTGCATGGTGGGTCAAATGTAGATATCTTGATGGGATCATGGTATCCTGCGATTTCTACACGGTATCCAAGAATCTTGCCGAAGGGTACCCCAAGCGTATCCCGTCTAAGAGAGGATCTTGAAAGCGGACGAGACGGAGTTCCTTTTCGCACATGTTTTTCCGACGCTGAAGGATTGGAGCATAAATATTTGGAGCTATGCTACGCGTCTGTTCTGTTTACCGAAAAGTGGATACTTTTGAGTTGGATACATTTAATGATTACTCCCTGCAAAAACTCAGCCCCTGATTGACTTACAATGATTGTCAAAAGAAGACATTCTAATCCGTCTCCACTCCTTCCCACTTCCCACTCACCCAGCAAATTTTTCCATGAACATGACTGTACAGTCAGTACTCATCCATAAACACGTGGAACACGGACAAGGAATCATTAGGTTGGAGGCTATCACTTCTAGGTTGGAGGCCATTGCTATTAGGTTTCTCTTCTTTCGTTCTTTATTTCTTTCTTTCGTTCTTTCTTTCTTTTAGGTGTTCTTTCTTTGTTTTTTTCTTTTGGTTTTGGAGCCCATTGCTCTTCAACTAAGGCTCGAGTGGTGTGAGCTTGAGGCCATTGCGGAAAGCCGGTGTCGGTGTGCACGTTTGACGCGTTTGACGTTCACTGCATCGCTTCGTTTCTGCTGCAACATGTCCACAATGACGCGGGTTTCCTTGGTCGATGCACAGGGCTATTTGTATGAGCACCGTTCCTAGTAGCGTCCTTGTTCCAGTAGCCAACGTAGTTCTTTTCAGGACTTGACAGAGTTCCTCGATGCACAGCTGGGGCCGCTGGAAATGGCCATCGCTCCTGGGACCGATGGATCAGGCGGTCAGGCGGGTCAGGCGGGTGCAGTCCGCTCTGTTCAGTCCTTTTGCCGTCATTCGAGGGATACCTCCATTCCACTCCTCTAAGAGTCTGAAAAACCCGACATGTACAGGATATATGCTACTATATAGTAGCTTCTTGTTATTCTTGTTAGTGGCCATGGCCTCCAACCAAATAGCTTCTTGTCAGTAGTAATGCCAGGAGCTACTACTTGTTACTCTTCTCCAGGTGGATCTGGAGAGGAACCCAATCTGGTGAATTGATGCTGAAGGGGCTCCAACATACTCTTTATTCGGAAGCGTGGATTCTTTGACAGGTCCAGCACAGTCCACAGTTTTGGCTTCTCCGTCGGTCCTTTAGGTGCTTCGGAAGTAGTAGCGTCCTTGCTCCTAGTAGCGATGCCCTTTGCTCCTAGTAGCTTCTTGTTCCTAGTACGGCCAGGAGCCCCGTTCGTAGCGTCCTTGTTCCACTAACCCTGTCTCTTCGCCTCTTCCTCACCTCTTCCTCACCTCTTCACCTCTCTTCACCGAGGACAACTTTCGGGGCAGCCAGGACGTCACCCGCGCCGCGCACACGCCCCACGTCCGGGACATCGGCCGGCTCATGTGCCGTGGCAAACGCTTCGCTTCGACGTCTGTTTTTTCGAAAGGAAATGAAAGGGAACTTCCGCTTCTTGTGTTTTCTTTCTTGCCCGCCCTACCTCCTTAAGTAGGCAAGGGCTAAGTTAGCTTCTAGGTAGGATGCAGGATAGCGCTCGCACTAAATGATTTGGTTCCTATACTTTTAGGGCACGAAAGGATTCCTACAATCCCCTTTTTGGGCGTTCTTTTTCATTGCAAAATTCTTAAAACGTATTTGCTATGGATCGTTTGTGTGTGTGTGTTTATTTTTTTGCTTCGGTGATGAGTCGCGTGAAATGTGGAGTAGTATCAGTTCAATCTACAGTAGAAGTTGGATCAAATCGCAACTTCTGTTTGTCGGACACGGAGGAAACTTGCTCTATCCATTTTTCTCATTGGTATTTGATGGATCGCCTTAAAAAGGGATTGCCACAGCACATTATTTAGGTGATTTGCTTCCTATCGGATGCAGCTACCTGTTGCGTGCCTGGTGTTTCTCAAAGTTGCAGCTCTCAGGTTCCGGAACCATTGCCTTTTGGATTCTCGAGTTTTCAGGCTGGGTGGCGGGACTGGGATCCAAAAAGCAAGACTCTTAAGAGATGCTTTTGAGGCGTCGGCTCTTTTGTCTTGATATGGATGTGAGCATGACAGCAAGAGCCAAGACATTCACAACCACAATCCACTCGAAAGAGCCGCGTGGAATCCAGAGCTCTCCCCATTCCCTCTTTGCAGCACTGGAACGTTCTTCGGACTGCATGTGAGGCCCTTGTGTTTGGCGGCCTATGCATTAGTCCACGAGGTGTGTCGACGGTTGAGATGGGGTGGATGGCGTGTTGGAGTGTGAGAGTTTCAGAAAAAGGATCTGGAGAAACGGTCCAAATTCCAGCTACAGATGGCATCACAGTCGCAGTTGGTGACATCTGATGCATGTGCGCAAACTGTGTGGACAAATGCTCCTATGACTATGTGGAATTGGCAAGAAACAAAGAAGATGAAAAAGGAAAAACATAACAGATACTGAAAAGTCAGTCCACTTTGAGTTTGCTCCAACTGCAACACACGAACAGCGTTCGACATTTTGTAAGCTTCGGTCGATAGCAAAGAATCAGACTCTTTCTTGTGTTCGTTTTCGGTAGATATTTATTTTTATATACTATATATTAAGAACGTGTTTGGGCCGGGGCCCTGAGAGCAGACCCTAGTGTCTTAGTGCTTCGCCTTGCCGTGCCTTGCTCCGCTGTTTGCTTGTCAGATCCAGCGGGCATCCTTGCGGTCGCAAGAGGAGGAGTTGGATGGGCTCATCGACGCTGGGGCCACGAAGCAGTGAAGAGCAGTTCGACGCGAAGGTTTTTTTGATAAACAAAGGGTGTTGTGAAGAGGTTGTACCATGATGTTCACGTCTTCCCTAAGCCCAGATGTTGCTCAAGAACCTTGGTTGAAGAGAGACCTCTTTGTTGCCAAGCAAAGGTTTAATATGGTTCAATCACTCGCCGTCATTCACTCGGGGTATATTGCTGGAATGTGTCGACATTTATTGGCCGAAAGAACCCCTAATAGGCACTAGGAGCCGTACGCGCTGGCAAGAGGGGAAAGATGATGATGAGTCTGACCTTGAAACTCTATACAGTACGTAGCTTAACTGGTTAAAGCCGGCAAGTCACAAGTCTTCAACAACAAAAAGAGTCCACATTCTTTTCTCACAAAATCCAAGAGGATCATAGCAATATCGACACTGCAGATGAGACTTGTTGTTACACTTCACAGAAGTCGAAATAGACTCGATTCCGATGAATTTTTGGTGTTGGGTTTGAGTCATGTTGAGCCAGTCGATTTCCTCAATGTCCGGACTCGTCCGGACTCCCTTGTTCTACTTTTGGATGACTCCATCGACTCGACTGCGTGCGGAAATGTCTCTCGAGGATTTGCTGGAACAGTTCCACGGGATGTTGGCCGCTTGCGACGTTCAAGACGATCATTTGTCCAACTCCAAGAACACCAAGGAGCGATGCCGATGATCAATGTGAGTAGGGTGGTGGGGTCCTGCTCCGATTTGGCATGGCGGATGACGTCAGGGATTAGGCTGTTCGCAGCCATGTTGAAAGAAAAGATAACCACATGTGGACCCCCAATCCTTTGTGTTTTTGGTGAGTATAGATATAGAAGGGAAAGCGCCTCCAGTCATCCGACGAAGTAAAACGAAAGGGAGGAGAAGGATGGAGAAGGGGCCAGACATGGAGCAGCCCCTTGTAAGAAGGCTCCTTTAACAGTTGTTACTGGAGGACACCTTCTTAAAGGGGAGTTATTCACTCTTCTTTTTAGGTGCACCTAGTAGTGTCCTTGTTACTAGTAGCGATGCCAGGAGCCCCTAGTAGCCTCTTGTTCCTAGTAATGCCCTAGTAATGTCCCAAATAACCTATTTCTACTAGCTTCTTGTTACTAGTAGTAAGGCACTTGTTACTACTAGCATGGCACTTGTTTCTACTAGCTTCAAATAACCTATTCACATCTCATTCTTTCGGACCTAGACCGTTTGCAGGAGTCCTTTGGCGACAACCTGGTGTCCCCCATCTCTGCGGCCGTCGAGTGCTTCGGCGAGAAGGACAGATGAGGCGACAAATTTCCAAACTAACAAGGCACCAGAAGCTACTAGTAACAAGTGCATCGCTACTAGTAACAAGGTTCGCTACTAGTAGCTCCTGGCATCGCTACTAGGAACCCGGGCATCGCTACTAGTAACAAGAAGCTACTAGTATATAGCTAGGGGCATCGCAAGTAGTAACAAGTGCATCGCTATTAGCTACGCATTGACAGCTAGTCGTTTAGTACTTCCAGTTGCAGTCGCTGTGAATCTCAAAAGCGGTTTATCTATCGTTCATATTGCCACGATAGATAAGAACATCACAAATTGACCAGGTAAGCCGTTCGTGTGTGTGCACGGAAGATCCAATATGCGGCTGCGCACTAGATGTGTTTCTTGCAGATCACGACAGGTGCCACAACAAGCATCGCATCTATCACCACGAAACCTTCCCTTGCGAGACAGAACTTCCAAACCAGGTTCTTGCCCGTGTGGCCGATGGATCCCGGATCCCTTTGCTTGAAGGAAACAGGCATACCATGCGAAGTCAGACCTCTTTCAAACCACCAATCCATCTCAACCCTGTCCTTCGAGAATCTAATGAATCATGCACCCCAAAAGAAAACCACATCTTGAAGCTCCCTTCATCAGTTGCTTCCAACCACACCGAAGAGAAAAAGTCAGAAACACATAAACTTTGGAGCGACACAGGAGTGGACGGAACATCACCAAACAACACAACATCCAGCCCACCAGCGTGGCCATCATCGACCGTGGGGCAGGACATCCGAGGGCATCCATCTCGAGATTTGCCCAGTGACAGAGGCGCTGAAGACCTTCATATGAAGACACAAGACAAGGTGTTTCCTTCTTCTTGAGAAAAACAACTTTTGAAAAGAAGCGGAATGAACAAAAAACAAGAGAAATGAGAAACCCTGAAGCAGAATCTTGTTGATTCTTTCGATTTGTCAACTGATGTTTTCTTTCGGAGTCATAGTCGACTACTTTTGTGATGATGGTTTTGAGCTTTGGGTGACGGTTCTGGAATGTTCTGAACACCTCGTGGGTTACAGGGCCCATCCAGTTGAATGACTTCAGCGATGTTTCCGAGTCTCTTGTGAACCAACATCGAATGCACTTGGATCATCTTGGATCCATATTCTTGACAACTTACTGTTATTCTCGTCTTCATTTGCACTTGGTGCCCTTTTGTGAAGCCTTTCCGGTGAAAAGTCGAACCCTGAAGGACAAGTGCGCTTCTAGTAACGTGGAGGCTAGTGACAAGGGCCTTACGACGTGTGCGTCGAACTGCTCGGGGCTGGTTCCAGGCCGTGGCTTCAAGTGCATTTGAAGGCACGCACGCGGACCGCAGCACCTCCGACCGCCAGCGCATTTCGGCATTCCATCGGGGGATCCAAAGGGTGTTTTGACCAAAGGTTCGGTGGTTGGAACAAAAAAAGAACTCTTTTCATCTCTTTTCAATGTGTTTTTTTTACCATCGTGTCCAAAATCCCGTTCTTCACTTCAGGTTCTGATGTTCAGCTGGGAAGAAGGATTGCCGTCGAGACGTTTTACGATCCGCTTCGATCAAACTGTTTGGAGCGGAGACCAAACCCTGCAGTTGTTTTATCATGTTTTATCTACATGTCTAGGTCGCGTGTCACCGGACGACCAATAGGTATTCGATGGAGTCCATCAATTCCCTGGCGTATTGGATCGATATTGATCGACAACCGGTAACCCTGATCCGCTGGTCAGTTCTTGAGTCCCGAGCAGCCTGGACTCCCTCTCCGAGGTGACAGTTGTACATATCTTCGGCGTTCGGCGGGAAAAGGGACCGTCGCCGTGGGCAGATGGAAACTTGCCGCATATGCTACTAGGAACAAGGATGCTACTAGGAGCAAAGGGCATCGCTGCTATGTGTCACGTTGTCTTGATGTGCTATGGAACCTCATGCTTGACATGTTCATGGGTTTGCCAATTCACTGCGGAGAAGATAAAGGTGAAGGTGCCTCCATCCAATCAACTCCCCGTTTTCAGGAGCAAAAAGCTATTAGTGGCATCGCTACTAGGAACCCGGGCATCGCTACTGGCATCGCTACTAGGAGCAAGGACGCTATTAGTGCCTTCTTCTCCAAGTTCCGATTTGCACTTGGACGCCGTGGGTGCCAGGCTCAGTGTCCACAGCTGTGTTGGCCGCAGACCCCACAGTCCCCGGTGGCACCAGCTGCAGGGTACCTGGGTGGCAGTGGACGACGTCACAAGTGGAGCAAGTCACAAGTAACAAGTGGTTTGGAACGGGGATTGCACAGACGGGTTGCAGGGATTTACAGCTGTGGGAAGTAGAGTTAAACCGTTCTAATCCCTCTTCTTTGTGTTTTGGGCTTACGTACCTACGGTGACTAGCTCTCTAGCTGCGTTTCGATGTGTTGACACATGGAACTTCAACCTGTTGGTTTTCTCAGACTCACCAGAGGGTACTGGAGCGTGTTGGTCAAACCTGCGAGACGGACAGTGGAAGCTGCACAATTGCTGATGCCAAAGGTTGCCCGTTAGGGAAAACTCACTAGTGGCATGTCCATTCAAGAAGCACCTGTTATAGCATGTCATACCCAAAACTTGCGATCAGCGTTCCTCACAACGATATGTTCTTGGACTATTTGATGACTCTCCTGTGATCCAGTTCTCCCTCGTTATCAACCACATCCCCAAGCTCGCAGGCCAGAGTCCTACTACGGGAGCGCTTGGGGCGGCTACGGCTATGGAAATCCCTACGCAGCCGCGCCGCCTTACAATCCCTATGGGCCCTATGGCTCCTATCATTGGATTCTTGTTCGCATGGTGAGGAGAAGTTGTGATGAGAAGGGCTCAATGGCCTCCAACCTAAGAGCGATGGCCTCAAAACTAAATTCAAAACTAAGTTGTGAACTGTCTTTGTTGATGTTCTGTGAAGGCTTCAGCTCCGCAGCGCCAATGTTTCCTCTACTGGGTTTTGGAGCGATCTCGGGTTTGCATTGTCCTAGGTCCTAGTCGGCCCAAACGGGTGAGACCGTCAGTTTGTGAGACCGTCCAAACGGTATCGGATCTTCACAGGAACCAGTACGCGGCCTACGGAGGATATGGCTATGCGCCGCCGCCTCCACCAGGTGCAAAACTCCGACGGTAACCGACGACACTTTGGGTCCTTCTTGGTAACGGAGAGTTTCTCATTCCAGGAGCTTGGAGTGTTTCAGCCTGAGAACTGCCCTGATTTTGAAAGGCAGAGCTTGGTACCAGGTCTCACAAAAGGACCTTACAGGCCATTGCTAGGTTGAGGTTGAAGGCCATCGCTATTCGCAAAGAAGAAGGATCAGAAACAAGTTCTATAAGCTATTAGGAGCAAGGACGCTACTAGGGGCTCCTGGCCTTACTTCTAGTAACAAGAAGCTACTAGGGGCTCCTGGCATCGCTACTAGTAGTAGCAAGGACGCTAGTAGGAATATGTTTGCTATTTGAAACGGTGCCAAGTCGATGAGTCGATTTTCGTTTGCCTCGCCTGGCATCCGACTGGCTGGGAACCGGATCAAGAAGCAAGTCGTTAACACAAACACCGTAATTCCGTTGTCGATTTGGTAAGTTTATGACATGTCATGAGGGGTATGATGGCAAGCAGGCCCGATTCATCTCATAGACAATAAACATATATAAAAAGGATGTTCATGTTAAACAATTGTACACTGGACATCACTGGACCATTATACCATTGGAAGACTCGTGGTTTTCTGGCCCGGCATTGCGTATCGGCCACGGCCGCGTCATCCTGTGTCGTGATGTCGGTTTGGATCAGCGAAGCGAGTGAGAGCGAGATGAAAGAGTTCGAGTTGCTCTTGGAGAAAGTCGCTGTGAGGCGTGCGCTGTTTGCTTTTAGGTTTTCTTGACCAACGGATTGTCTCCAAGAGAATGCCCCATGTCCAAGTCTCTTCCTGTTTTCCTTCTAACCGACGAAAAGCGAACAAAAAACCGCTCCTCGGAGCTTCCTCGGTCGAGCGAGGCACCATCTGGAGATGTCGGAGCTTAAGAGCGAAATCACCAGGTGACGGCAGTCGGCCACCGGTCCGGTGTGGAGCGGAACAGAGTGAGGGTGTTGGAAAAGAGTGAGCGGTTAAGGGCCTTAAGGGTTTTAGATTGGCGTTTGAAAGCATGCCAATCTGTGCCTAGGAAAAGGATGGAAAAGGAAGTGCTTAATCCATGATTTTCATACAATATTTTGCCTAAATGCTTTGAAGCCCTTTTTGAGGGCCTTTCCAGGACCTTTCAGGGTCTCCCCAGGTCTCAGGTTTCCGCCACGGCCAGGCTTCAGGGGGAACTGGCCGCCGCAGAAGCCTCCCGAAGCCAGCCGCCGATTGAGTTCACCACCTCCCCCAGCAAGGTGCGACGTGTGTTGCATGGAACCATACGGAACCTTTGTCACGCACACGTGCGGTTCTCCTATGTTCTTGTGCTTTTATTTGCTCCAAGGAAACACCCGTCTCACTGTCACGGTTTGGCTCCCATGACTCGCAGATGAATCAATGACTCGCTGAAATTGTAAACGGTCGACCTGATTGGTGGATATTGGTGGTCTTAAGGTTCGCATCATTTTTTCGGACCAGACTACAGTGTAGAAAGCTGCGACTTTGACTAGATGCTACATGATGCGGGCCTTTCTTGCAGCAACTATATAGTTGATTGAACATGAGTTTGTGCCATGTGGCGACAAGAGGCTGCTGCTTCGTGACTTTCATGAATTCTTTTGAAGTTGCCTTTTTCGTTCTTTGCATCCGAAGACGCAACAATCATCAAAGACTTTTTGACGGCAGCGTGAAGAGCACAAGGAGGGAGGCCATCACTAGTAGGTTGGAGGCCATCGCTCTTCGGTTCAAAAGGCGACTGGCTCTCCACCTTTGCAGCAGACGGGCCGTTCCGTCGAAAGGTGGTGGAGTTTGATCCGAACGAGCTTGAACTTGGATCCCATCCGAACGAGCAAGGACCACGGGCACCGTGGAACTGGAGGGTTAAGAGGAGCAGGTCCAGGAGTCCAGGAGTCTTGGACTAGGATATTCTGTTCTATAGGATGGTGTAACTGGATTGAATATGATTATATTTGGATCATGTCCATTGGCCTGATCCACAAAGTGCCGGAGGACAAGTTCTAAAGACTCCAGTTGAAGAATCTCCCAGATTTCTGCCAGCAAATCTCACCATGCGAATCCGGAGTGTCTTTGATGGGAGACTTACACTCCAACCTCTAGGAGTGATGGCCTCCAACCTGCTATCGTGGTGGACAATGCAGAAAAAGAACATTCTTCAATTCTAATTATATTTATTTATTGTTTCTAATAGCAAACCTTGTTCCTAGTAGTAGAGATGCCCTTTGCTACTAGTAGCGTCCTTGCTCCTACCCCGAAAAGTCGTCAACGGGACTTCGGTGCCCTGCGGTGCCCAGGACCCAGCCCACTCGGCCGAACGGCTGTTGAGCCGCTTGGAGATGGAGACCGTCGTCCTTCTTCGGGAAGAGATGGGAACTACACTAGTAGCTTCTTGTTACTAGTAGTAAGGATGCTCCTAGTAGCGATGCCAGGAGCCCCTAGTAGCGTTCTTGCTCCTAGTAGTAAGGCCAGGAGCCCCTAGTAGCTTCTTGTTACTAGTAGTAAGGATGCTCCTAGTAGCGATGCCAGGAGGTTCTAGTACCGTTCTTGCTCCTAGTAGTAAGGCCAGGAGCCCTAGTAGCTTCTTGTTACTAGTAGTAAGGATGTTCCTAGTGGCGATGCCAGGAGCCCCTAGTAGCGTTCTTGCTCCTAGTAGTAAGGCCAGGAGCCCCTAGTAGCTTCTTGTTACTAGTAGTAAGGATGCTCCTAGTAGCGAGCCCCCAGCAGCGTTCTTGCTCCTAGGAGCCCCTAGTAGCTTGTTGCTGCTAGTAGTAAGGATGCTCCTAGTAGCGATGCCAGGAGCCCCTAGCAGCGTTCTTGCTCCTAGTAGTAAGGCCAGGAGCCCCTAGTAGCTTCTTGTTACTAGTAGTAAGGATGCTCCTAGTAGTGATGCCAGGAGCCCCTAGCAGCGTTCTTGCTCCTAGTAGTAAGGCCAGGAGCCCCTAGTAGCTTCTTGTTACTGACAAAGAGAAGTCATTCCGCCTACACGTAACCGAAGACCCTTTACAGCTAGGCTCAAAAAGGCTCGCATGGTAGCGGAGCCGTGACGGCCATTGCTACGTGCTCTGGCCCGAGCTCCAGAGCCTTTGGTGAGGCCGGGGCCCAAAGCCTCCACACCCTTGCCTAGCCACCCATACTACTGTTGCAAGAGCTCGCAATCGGTGCCTGAGCCTACCTGGACACCGAGCGTGAAGAACGCCATCGACTACAAGATTGCCCTTTTGCTGGACTTCAAAGAGGTTGAAGAGGGTTTGGAGGAGCTCCTACTTGGTCGAACCCAAGAAGGTTGAACTGATCCTGCAAGGCAAGTTCGAGGCATGGATGGATCAGGGGGAGTTGGCGTCGACCTCACCAGCTTCCCGGAGTTGACTCAAGCCCTGATCGCAACAGCTCAGGCGGCTACTCAAGCCGTACAGGCAGCTTCAGCGGCATCTTCGACAGGAGGACCAGCTGGAGGAGAAAGCTCAGAGACCAGTAACAGAGATCTGGCCAAACTGATCCCCCGTCCAGGAGTGTTCAACCCCTCTGACCGGGAGCAGGAGATTCTGCAATGGAGGGACTATTACTGGTGTTTGAAACAGTATTTGGTGGTGGTGGACAGTGAGTTCCAATCGGAGTTGGAGAAGATTGAGAAGGATCTGACGGTGGAGACCGAATGGGACCTCATGGATTCCAAGGAGCAACAACGAAGTCATCCAAGGTCGGTTGATTGGACTGATCGAGAATGTGGACAACTTCAACGGGTGAGGCCTTGCGGCAACTTCTAGTGAACTGTCAACCACAAGCCCGCAATAGGACGATGAGTTTGTTGCAAGGGATCATGGCGTATCCCAACTTCAACATGAAGACCAGCATCCTTCCCCAGATCCTGAAGTTGGAAGAACACTTCAACCAGTACGAGAAACTTGGAGGGAAGTTGACTCCTGACCTGCGCTCAGCTGTTCTGTTGAGGGTGATCACTGGCCCACTCAAGATCCATTTGAACATGACCTTGAATGAAGGAAGCTCCTACCAGAAGATAAGAGAAGCGGTGCTCGCCTTCGACACGGCGAATACGAAGTGGAATGAAAGTGCCGCATTGAGCTTCACTTCAACGACGAGCCCAATACCATACAGTGCAGACCCCAGTGGACTCGCCCCGATGGAGATCGACAGAGTGCAGAAAGGAGACGGCAAACAGAAGGGCGCAAAGGTTAAAGGTGGCAAAGATGGCAAAGGCAAGAGCAAGAGTAAAGAGGACAAAGGAAAGGGCAAAGGTAAAGGAAAACCTTTTGGTGGGAAGCCTGACGGCAAAGGAAAGGCCGGCAAGGAACAGAAGGGCAAAGGCAAAGGAGTTGGTGACACCTGTTGGACGTGCGGACGCCCTGGACACCACTCGAAGGACTGCTCGCGAGTCAGGCAGATCGAGGCACCACCAAGCCACTCAGGAGGGTCATCAAGTCAGGCCACAACCTCTCCGTCGACGATCTTCGAGAGATTGTGGAGGAGGAGACAGGTTCAATTCGAGTTTTGACTGCTTGTACTGAGGGCAGTAGTGCTAGGCGAAGGAAGGTGGAGTTCTTCAACATGGATGTTGATGACAGTGGTGAACGGGACATCATGGGGAGTTTGTCAATCAAGATGATTGGACAACCAGGTGAAGAGCATGAGGAGGTGAGTGATGAGGAGGAAGTTACCATCACCGTGGACTCAGGTGCAGATGCTTCACTTTCCCCAGGCTTCATGCTGAGGAAGGGAGAGCGCATCAGAGGCGGTGGACCCCTCCTTCAAGACGCCCAAGGCACTCAGATCAAGACCTTTGGGCACAGAGACGTGAGCATAACTGAGGATGACAGAGAGGTCATCTTGAAGGAACGTGTCACCTTCAGTGACGTGGTGGCGCAACCTGGCTGTCGTTTGGCCATCTTCTACGCGCAGGGTGGTCGATTGACGCGAAGGAGCATTGCGTGTACAATGGCAGTGTTCGAGTGCCGCTGACGTTTCAGAACAACAGTCTGGTCGTAAGGGGCTACATCAGAACCCTTGTGGAGGCCGGATGTGTTCGCGCGTTGAAGGCGGTGCTGGGTGACAAGTTGAAGGAAGTTGTTGATGGTCCCATTGGATGGAAGAAGGTTGGTGAAGTGTGGATTGGTCATCACCTGAGCCAGTACTTTCAAAGCCCACAGTACATTCCAGCTTTGAGAGAGCAGCGAGGAGGACTATGCAGATCCACTCTGGTTGAGAAAGATGGTCTGTGGGAGCTGGTCGAGATGACGGAACCCCTAGACGGTCTCAGTGACCAAGAAGCCGAGATCGAAGAGTTGAAGGGAATTGGGAGATCTCGGGTGCTGAGCTTTGTGGCACACTATGACATCCCACAGAGCCCGGAGGATCTTGGTTTTTTTCGACTTCGCTTTCACACATGCCACCGGGACCGGACCCCTAGGATCACCGGAAGATGGTGATGGTGCTCAGATGGGGGTGGCTGATGATGAATCTGGTGCACTATGGCTGATTGCTGTTTGCGCAGAAACAGGCTATGTGTTGGGTTTGCCCTTGAAGGCGAAGTCGCAATTGAATCTCATTGCTCACGAGTTACTCTCCTTCACTCAAGTTCTCGGCCATGAGGAGGTCACCTGCTACTCAGACAACGAGCCAACACTGAGGCAAGTGTCCCGCCTCTTGGTCCAGGCGAGAGGAGCAATGGGATTGAAAACAAAGATGAGAACCACCAAGATTTATGATCATGCAGGCAATTCCTTGGTGGAGAATGCAGTCCAAAGAGTTCGGTCCGTAGCAGCGACCTTGATGGAGAACATAGCAAAGCATACTGGATTGCGCTTCAATGGTCAACATCCTTTGTGGACATGGGCATGTCGACATAGTGCATGGCTTCTCAACAGGTACCAACCAGTGCAGGGAGCAACAAGCTATGAGTTGGTGCATGGGAGACCCTACAAGGGAAAGCTCTGCCAATATGGGGAGGTTGTCTTTGCCTACACCAAGCCAAAGCGAGGATTCAAGGCGGATCCACGCTGGAAGGTTGGAATCTGCTTGGGAAAGAGCGAACTCCAAGACGCCTGGGTCATTGGTGATGGATCCAGAGTTTTCCTGAGCAAGTCAGTGCGTCGGGTTGAGGATTCCTGGCAAAGATATCTTCCATGCTTCAAGGGCTTCGCAGCTTACAGGCGCTTGAAGGACCAAAGGTGAGTTTTACACTTCCCTGAACCCAGGACGTGTTGGAAGGAGATCAAGAAGCCCAGGAGGTGCTCGCCTACTTGAGGTCCTATGCAGGAAAGCTTGAGGCGCGGAGAGAAGTTGAGGGTAAAGAGGAGAAGACCCAGCAGGAGACTGCCGAGCAGGAGGAGACTCTGAGGCTGGCGGAAGACAAGAGGAGTAGCTTGGTGGAAGAGCAAGAGTTGAACCTTCCAACAGTGGTAGCCCCAAGCGTGAACATTCCCCTTGCATCGGTGGTTGATGAAGAGAAGAACCAGTTAAGGCCATCGAGACCAAGTGCATTCTCTTTGCTGGAGTCCCCATCAACACCAAGATCTACAGCTCAGAAGGTTGGACAACCAGCAGAAAGCCCAGTTCCAGAAGCCAAGAAGTTGAAACCAACGGTGGAGAAGGTGACCCATGGACACGAAGGGGTTGATCCTGATCCGAAGAGAGCAAAACAGGAGACCGAAGTTCACCATGAGAGAAGGGTGTCAGCGACGCAGGTTGGTGGTGACATCTTTTACCATATGGATTCGATCATTGGTGAGGAGGAGATAGCGGCGTGGCAGGATGAGGTTGACGAGCAGGCCGTTGATGAACTGCCTGATGCCTTGTGGTCCAAAGCTCCTTTGGACCGAGTGCCTCCAGAGCCACCCAAGTGGATAGAGGACATTGCTGATGCTGTGGAGGAAGCAAGACTTCAGAAGCTAGGAGTGTTGAGCAAGATGGACGAGCTGCAGGCAAGCCACAAGACGCTGACAACCCGGTTTGTGAGGGACTGGAGAGCAAAACATCGAGACAAAGAAGGGAATGGTCCAAAGCAGTGGCTGAGGAGATCGAGACTTGTGGCACGTGAATATGCCACAGACAAAAGGGATGGCATCCATGCTCCTGCTACAGGTGGACAAGCTTTACGTTTGCTTCCCCTCCTATACCTTGGGAAGAAGGCGGAGGAGACATTGGGAGGAGAAAGGACGATCTTGGGAAGCCTGGATGTGAAGGATGCATTCCTACAAGTCAAGCAAGAAGTTCCTACTCAAGTGACAACAGCCACAGGCCACTTTGAAGTCCTGAGGAATTTGCCGGGGCAGCGGATTGGTGCAAAGGCTTGGTTTGACCATCTGACCGAATGGCTGAAGAGCAAGGGTTTCAAATTCTGCCCGGAGAACCCATGTCTTGGCAAGGCATCTTCCATGTGTGTCCTCATCCATGTTGATGACATCATGTTTGTGGGCAACAAGGATTATGTGTTGAATGAATTCATTCCAGAGATGAAGAAAGTCTTCGACATTTCGGAACAACACCTTGAAGAAGACGGCAGTAGTTTCCAGTTCTTGAGGAGGACCTACGAGAAAGTGGAGAATGGCCTGAAGGTTCATCCTGGAAAATATGCCGAGAGCATGGTGGAGGCATATGAAGGCAAGTTGGGGAAGGCCAAGGTTCAGAAACTTCCCTGCGGTCCTGAGATCCTAGAGCCAGACGGGACGACACTCCTTGGCTATGAGCTTGCAAGTCTTTACAGATCTTTGGTAGGTTGTGGAATCTACCTGTCCCAGGAACGACTAGACGTGTCCTACACGGTGAAGGAGTTGGCTTCCACTATGTCCTGTCCTACAGCAGCAAGTTTGAAGAAGCTTGGCAAGTTGATTGGATACTTGAAGCACACTATGGGTCAACATAGTTTGCTGGAGTTAAGGGAAGCTGGACATGGACTGGTGCATCAGAGCTTCGAGACACGCTATATCTTGGAGACATTTTCAGACAGCGATTGGTCAGGAGCGAAAGGGCACCGACGTTCGACAAGTGCAGCAATCCACATGGTCAACGGAGTGGTGGTAGCATCATCCTCACGTGGACAGAAGTCAGTTAGCCTGAGTTCAGCGGAAGCCGAGTTGAATGCCCTAGTCAGCAGCGCAGCAGATGGCACTTACCTTCGAAGGTGCCTGGAATTCCTAGTGGAGGAGGCAGTTGAGCATTGCTGCATGGTGGACAACTCAGCAGCTCTACACCTTTGTCATCGGAAAGGACCAGGCAAGCTGCGGCATGTGTCAGGCAAGCTCTTATGGATCCAAGATGCTGTACTACAGGAACAGCTGAAGGTGATGCCAGTTGGGACAGTGAAGAATGTGGCTGATCTAGGCACAAAACCTCTATTGAAGAACCGCATCAATCTGATCCTGAATTGGTGCAGCGTCTATGATGGGTATGGAGAGAAGATCGGCCAAGATGAGCGTGAGAGAAATGAGAATGAAGTGGTCAGCAAGTCGAAGATCAACAAGCTGGCCAAGTTGCTCAATCGCATTTTGCTGTTAGAGGGTCTTGGGCAAGTGGCTGGAGAGATGAGTGATTCAGAAGGCCAGTGTACCACAGTGCCTGAGACAATGGCCAGACCTACTACATCATGGACTATGTGGTTGATCGTGATCTTCCTAGTGATGATCGTTGGCGGCCTGGCCTTTGCAACCTATAAGGTGTGGAAGAAGCTCCAGAAAGTCTTGGAGGATCTTGAAGAGATGAAGGAAGCCCAGCGAGTGGACGGAATGATGATTGATGCCTTCGAGCATGAGAGAAAGGAGGAAACAGAAGCCTGATTCAAAAGATCCACCGCGGCCTAGTCAGGCCAACGGCTATGTGGATGAAGAGGAATTTGAAGATGGATAATGGCAGCATTGGGACTACATCCAGAAGTCCAACCGAAAGCTTGATTTCCTGAAGTTGAAGCAGGAAGCTCAGGCTTATCTGCTCTATGAGCTTGAGAAGAAGCAGGCAGAGGCTTCAGAAGAGCAGACTGATGCTGCAATGTCAGAAGGTGAAGAACTCCAACCAGGCGAGACGGCAACAGTGAGATTGGAGAGTGGAGAAGTAGTGGACATTCCTATGGAATACCTTGAACCTCGAGAGCCCGAAAGTGAAGTAGATGAAGATGTTGGCATGACTGCTCGTGAGCGAAGTGAGAGGCGCACGATAGATGGTGTGATGCATGACAGGTCAATGACCTAAGATGCCAAAAAGGCATGGATCATGAACATCACCTTCCAAGAGCTGGGAGATTTGAATTCCCAGCCGGGAGGTCAGGAATGAGGGCCAAGAAGCATTTGCAGGCCCTGGAAACTAGGTGGTGGGATAACCAGGAAGGAAAAAGAAACATCGAGAACCCGAAGATTTTTAGTGAAATGGAGAAACACTACCCCTTCCTGGAAGCCCAGCCCTGAAGTTCTGAAATGGTGGAGGAAGGCACGAACACTTTAGCCTCCCCCACCAAGGAGGAGTGACAAAGAGAAGTCATTCCGCCTACACGTAACCGAAGACCCTTTACAGCTAGGCTCAAAAAGGCTCGCAGTTTCGTAGTAGTAAGGCCAGGAGCCCCTACTAGCTTCTTGTTACTAGTAGTAAGGATGCTCCTAGTAGCGATGCCAGGAGCCCCTAGTAGCGTTCTTGCTCCTAGTAGTAAGGCCAGGAGCCCCTAGTAGCTTCTTGTTACTAGTAGTAAGGACGCTCCTAGTAGCGATGCCAGGAGCCCCTAGTAGCGTTCTCGCTCCTAGTAGTAAGGCCAGGAGCCCCTAGTAGCTTCTTGTTACTAGTAGTAAGGATGCTCCTAGTAGCGATGCCAGGCTAGTAGATTCTTGTTACTAGTAGTAAGGATGCTCCTAGTAGCGATGCCAGGAGCCCCTGGTAGCGTTCTTGCTCCTAGTGCTAAGGCGAGCTTTTTGTTTACTAGTAGCGATGCCAGGAGCCCCTAGTAGCGTTCTTGCTCTTAGTAGTAAGGCCAGGAGCCCCTACTAGCTTCTTGTTACTCGTAGTAAGGATGCTCCTAGTAGCGATGCCAGGAGCCCCTAGTAGCGTTCTTGCTCCTAGTAGTAAGGCCAGGCGCCCCTAGTAGATTCTTGTTACTAGTAGTTAGGATGCTCCTAGTAGCGATGCCAGGAGCCCCTGGTAGCGTTCTTGCTCCTAGTAGTAAGGCCAGCAGCCCCTCGTAGCTTCTTGTTACTAGTAGTAAGGATCCTCCTAGTAGCGATGCCAGGAGCCCCTAGTAGCGTTCTTGCTCCTAGTAGTAAGGCCAGGAGCGCCTAGTAGCTTCTTGTTACTAGTAGTAAGGATGCTCCTAGTAGCGATGCCAGGAGCCCCTGGTAGCGTTCTTGCTCCTAGTAGTAAGGCGAGCTTTTTGTTACTAGTAGTAAGGATGCTCCTAGTAGCGATGCCAGGAGCCCCTAGTAGCGTTCTTGCTCTTAGTAGTAAGGCCAGGAGCCCCTAGTAGCTTCTCGTTACTCGTAGTAAGGATGCTCCCAGTAGCGATGCCAGGAGCCCCTAGTAGCGTTCTTGCTCCTAGTAGATTCTTGTTACTAGTAGTAAGGATCCTCCTAGTAGCGATGCCAGGAGCCCCTAGTAGCGTTCTTGCTCCTAGTAGTAAGGCCAGGAGCCCCTAGTAGCTTCTTGTTACTAGTAGTAAGGATGCTCC